ACAAAAGTGTTATTTTTATGCGATGTTTCTGCTGGATCAGCATTGTGTTGACAGTCATGGGCCCTCCAGGGTCCTGAGTTAAACAGAATCAGAGGAAGACAATGCCCTTCCTTCTTGTCATCTACTGCATAGGCATCCCTGTAAATCAGTTAGAAGGCACTCCTGCAGTACAGCACACAGCTACAGCCACTTTGATATATTGAGTGGCCTGAAAGCTCACTGCTCGGCTCTGCAGGGTGGCTTTTCTGGAACCAGTCACTGCACTTCTGTTGTGGACATCTGCAGAGTCACAGTTTGGAATGGCCCTGTGAAATCACTAGCACATTAGAATCCCCCTTTGCTCCTTTCTAATAGTTTTGCCTTATGTCTGGACAGGAAAATTGCAAATGCAGATTGCCAGATTAAATTGTCTGTTTGAATTCAATATGTGCAGTACCACGCAAATCTAGCATTTTGTATTTTCATTCTGATATTAAATATATACAGTATGCAGAAATACTTAGTGTATCTAGCGAGCTTTAAAGGCCCAATGCTAGTTCAAGTGGAACTGACAGTTTCAACATTATTTGATCTTTCTGAGGATTTAATCCTCATGTGTTTATTTTTGAGGTTATTGAAAAAGATAATTAAAATGACAAAATGTGTTTTTCTTACACATGCACATCTCCTTCTTTGGATTATTTGTGGAGATGTTCCATTGATTCTCATTTTCTTTTTATTTACCTCTCTAAACTCCAGTCAAAAGTAACACCCCAGATTAAAAAAACGCTTTTCTCAAATTCTACCCTCGTTCATCATAATATTTTCTCTCTTGGTCAATCTCACTCAGATACTGTATTACATGCACAAGGCTCACTTGATTAATTCTATGAACTTTTTTAAACAGAGTATCTCTTATGCTGTAATTCTCAATTTAACACCTCCTGTATGCCAAATATCACTTTCATTGCCAGTATCAGATTTTGTAAAGTTATAAAGGGTGAACTGTATATATATATATTACATATAGTTTTCAGAGCTGCTGTAGTTCTTTTTTCTTATCAATAGAAAATTGCTGTCAGAAGGTGATTTGCTAGAAGGAATAAAGTAGTAACGAACACCATCAACATGTCTTCTGACTTAGCTATTTCACAGGCTGAAATAAAATTATATCATTTCAATATACACAGGATTTCCATACTAACACCTCTTTTATTAGTTGGGCATATAAAACCTTCAGCACTGAAAATGTGGAAAGTTGTCAGAATGCACAAATCTGAACCTAATTGTATTGATTAAATTGAACATGCCACGCATGTAATTCATTTAAATGTTTGGAATTGGACCACCAGTAACGACTAAGAATCAAATGTATGGTTCCTTTTAGGTGTTGGCCAGCAGAATGTTCTGTAGTGCTGTAGTGCTGTTCCATTTCTAATGATAGTTATTGGGGAAAAAAATCATATTCCTGAAGGATAATAGCCATTAACACACATTTAGAAACGTCTAAAATTCCTTAAAATATTGGAAAAAAATGCATGCTAAATCACTACAGTCTGCATATTGTTGGATCTTGACATTGAAAAAAAAAACTCTTAATAAATCATTAAAGAATAATTCATTCTAAAAGCACTGTCTAGATATAAGGGAATAGTGTTTGTGCAGGAGGGAGCCTCTTTGAGCCAATTTAAAGTGTGCCAGTTTTAATTAGCACATTTAACTGTATTCATTTTCTTTATAAGGTCTGACCTTTGCAATATTGTTTTGTCTTCTAATTTAATCTCATTAGTTGATTGCAGAAGGAGATTAATCTGAGATCTTTGGAGAGGCAGCATGCTCACCTTTCATGGCTGTTTTCTTATCTGAAGATGAACAAGATGCGAGCATTATGACAATAATATGACATCCTCTGGTTTCTGTAACAAAATCTATAAAACACCATATGCAAGAAGGAGTCTCTATCTTGAGTACTACCAGTGCGATATTTCATTTACAATTTATTCAATTTATTTGTGTGTGCAAGTATGAGCTTGTAAATGTATAGCATATGCATTGCCAGTGGAGCATATACTGTATATAGCTGTCAACAGGCCAGGTATGTCCCTACAGTGTCATGCAACATATCAAGATGTATTCACAGTGTTAGCAATTAACTACTTTACTTTGCCTAGTGCGTCACTGACTCAAATCAGATAGACTGTTGCCTTATAATATAGTTGCCTTATATGGTAACCCTTCAAACAAAGAAATTGGGGTAAACTGATTTCTTAATTTCCTTAACTAGTAAACTGAACTAAATATACTCATTTCACCTATTAATGAGACAGAAGTCCCAATAAGTCTGAATGCACGTGATTTGAAGAAAAAAACCTAGTACTTGTCTTACAGCATGGTTAGAAGATTGAATATTAGTGTGATTTGTGTTCTTAGAGGACTCAAAAAGCAGCACGTCTACAGTGGGTATAGAAAGTCACAACCCCCTTTCAAAATGTTCACCTTTTGTTGCCCTTAAGCCCTAAAAGAAAACAAATAAAATCAGACTTCTTCCAGTTTTATTTACAAATTGTACCTTGCAACATCCAAGTGAAAAAAGAAAGCAAACGTTCTGGAAAAAAAAGTAGAATAACTGGGCTGGATAAGAGAACGTCCCCCTGAGTTAATACTTGGTAGAAGCACCTTTTGCTTGAATTACAGACTTTAGTTTGTTTGGATACATCTCTACCAACTTTGTACACCTAGAGGGAGGAATATTTGCCCATTCCTCCTTACAGAACTGTTCAAGCTCAGTCAAACAGTTCCCAAGATTTTCGATGGGATTTAGGTCGGGGCTCTGACTAGGCCACTTAAGGACATTCACCTTCCTGTCCTTCAGCCACTGTACGGTTGCTGTGGGTCATTGTCATGTTGAAAGGTGAACCATTTTCAACTTCCTGGCTGAGAACTGCAGGTTTTTGTTCAAGAATGTGCTTGTATTAAGCACCATCCATCTCCCCTTCTATCCTGACAAGTGCCCCAATTCCAGCTGAAGAGAATCACCCCCACAGCAGGATGCTGCCACCACCGTGCTTTACTGTAGGAATGGTGTTCTTTGGATGGTAAGATGTCTTGGGTTTTTGCTAGATGTACCGTTTTGCATCACAGCACCTTTTGCCACTTGGCCACAGAATCTTTAAGGTGCTTTTTAGCCAAACATAAACAAGACTTGATGTGCCTTTTTTCAAGGAGTGACTTTTTTCTTTCCACTCTCCCATAGAGGCCAGATGTGTGGAGCGCTTGTGATATTGTTGTCACACGCACACAAAGCGTGTGACAACAATATCCAATCTTTGACCAATCTTTGCCATAAAGGTCTGTAGCTCGTTCACAATTGCCAGCGGCCTCCTGGTAGCCTTTGTAATCAGTCTCCTTCTTACTCTGTCATCCGGTTTCAAGGGACGGCCTGTTCTAGGCAAGGTCTGGGTGGTGCCATGTGCCTTCCACTTCTTAATGATGGTTTTGACTGTGCTCCATGGGATACTTAAAGTCTTTAAAATCTTTTTATACCCGTCTCCTAACTTATGCTTTTCCACAACTTTGTGTTGAAGGTCTTTTGAAAGCACCTTTCTGCCCATAGTGGATTCTTTGCTTTGAAACAGCTGCTTTTATTCTGAACTAATCAAAATCACCACAGTTGATCACAGGTGGGAGCCAATTAGTTTGTAACGTGATTTGTTATACCTGAGCAAGTTCACAAATACAGTTGTAAGGGGGGTGTTCACTTATCCAAATAAGGTATTTTACTGTTGTAATGTTAATTAATTTTCAGAATGTTTTAGAATTGTATTTTCCCTTGGCTATTGTGGGTTACTGTGTGTAAATAAAAATGGAACAAGCCTTATTTCATTTGTTTTTATTTTCAGAATTTCATACAACAAAAAGTACAAATTTTGAAAGGGGGTGGTGACTTTCTTGACCCACTGTTTGTGCTCCAGTGGGGGCAAATTGTTATGGTAAAGATTAGTACAGGTTGTCTGAACCCATTAGCCTCCTTTGGCAGTGTGGGAGCAGGTAGCACCTGTCAGCCCCTACTAGTTAGAAGCTGAGTTTCTCTGATGTTTACCTGCTCGGGGGATTTAATAGCAAGACCACCACAGGGCACAGCAGCTGCTGTACAAATAACACCTGCGAGTAAAAATTTTAATCACTCTGCTGGCTTTGTGTACACAAAGACTGATAAAACACAGGCTTGTCCCAATCCTGAGAGGCGCCTATTAGAACTGCTACTGGCTATCATCAGCTGGGGACTCAATAATGTGGATTCAATTTGTCTGCATAAAGAATAATGAAGAAAGACTCCTCTACACAATTATCCAACATACTGTCAGTCTTCATGCTGTGTGTAACGGAATGACTATAGTCAAGGAGAGAACTTCCAGAACTTATTTTAATCAGTATTAGATCATAAATAGAAAAGGAAAATGTGCTATTTGCATTACTTCTTACTTCTTACTGATTTTTTTAGATCTATGTTGCCTTTAAAGTACAGAATGTCTCAGGGGAATTCAATTTTAATTTTAATTCCCATTCTTTATCAATATAATTGGCAAAACCTGTTTCATTTTGCCAATAACATTTGTTTACATTTCAGTTTAATCAGGTTTTTCACTAATGGGCCATGATCTGGGTAAAGGAACAAGTAATATACACACCCGAAAAAAGGCTCCACAGCTGAAATGTTTTGTTTCTTTTCTTCTCTTTTCAGCTTGAAATAAAACTTTACTTGTTCCTCTGCAGCCCGTGACTGTTGAGTTTCTGCATAAGCATTGGCACAAAATGATTTGACATATCTCTTAGGCATACCTACCAATACATATTTGTGTACAACACAGGTGTGTGAAATTAAGATAACTAGGACTTATTCTTACATTAAAGTTTCTGAAGATTCTTTTCAGAATCTGATTCTGATTGTTTACAGAAGAGTCTGCAAAAGAGCTATTATGCATAACTGAAAAATCAGCTGGAAATAGGTCTGAAACAGTCACAACAAATTTCATAAATATTTATTTCATATCAATGAACAAAATTAACTACCTTCACAGCAGTGGTCTACAGCACTTAAAATAGTTCAAATAATAGAAATAATATTAAGAGTTCAGTTTCTTGAGAGGCCACATTTTCAACACAAAACATTTACAATTCGTACTTGGCATTAAAAACAATGGCAATACAATATATTTTAAGACACTTGGTGTTTTTTTTTTGTTTTCTTTAATATGACAGAGGTTTAGCAACAGTCTAAACAGTACATATTCAGTTAGATACAAAACCACTGCTAAAAGTCTAGGGGTCATGAAATACTAAAAAAAAACATTAAAACTAATATAGTACAAACCTCAACCAACAAATATCTCTCATTCACCAATACTTAATAATAATAAATAAGTAAATAAATTTGCAAAAATAGTCCCATTTTTTTCTTTATTTCTCAAGGCTCATAATAGTGTTCAAGAGTTCACATTTAAACAGGTAAACAGAGGTGGTTGGTCTTTCCAAGTGCAAGAGGAGAGAAAAGACAGGGCAGACATGCACTGTACAGGGAGAGTAGCAACACTGTAGGAATGCCACAATAATGTTTATGGCATCTTGAAGCTGGAGTTTAACTTTAGACATCACTACGGCGGTAAAAAGGTACATTCAGGCCTCCTAATATGTCCTCCTAAATTACAGTTTCTTCTCTTCCTTGAATTAGTTTAGTTAACAGCCTGTTTTAAGAAGAAGAATTTAGTCCCTTTCTCGTTTTTATTTTCACCTTTTTAAAAAAAAAAACGATGCAGATTATCTTTTATTGCGGTCACTGTGTTAGTCCAGCTCCCGATATAATCACTGTTCAGATATTTTAAAAGTTCTTGGGAGTTTAAGTTCTAATCTTCTTCTAATGATGTATTAGTTTCTTAATTTGGATAGTTTGCATTTGATATTAAGCACTTTTAAGGTTTGGCTGTTTTTGTACTGAATGACATCCCAATCCTTTGTTGTTTTTTTTTTGGTTTGTTTCTTACATCTCCACCTGTTTTCAATTTAATGCTTAACCTGTGAGTTCAGCTTGCATCCTTGGTTGGGTCCCAACCAAAACCAGTTTGAGGCACATTCCAAAGCTTAATCCTGAGTCAAAGTAGGAAAACTGAGGATTTTTCTTTGTACACACTGCGTTACCACACAGATGCGACCGTGCAAGACAAAGGAGGAACTGTGCACCATATGTATGTTCATGCTCGCTTATTTGTGAATAAAAACTATAAAAAATGAAAGCAATGCTTTCTGTACCCATGCTCAAATGTTCATTATTTATAGATAGCCATTTCGTTATGAAAAATGGCAACCCAACTACACAAAATATGACGTCACCTTAGATGTTATACACTTTTCTTCCAGGCATTTACTAAGGAGTGTTTCAAGAAAAAAAAGGCAACAACAGCTGTTTATTTTAGTGGATTCTAGACGTCACATGATCATTTAAGATTTTGCATCTGTGATCAAGCTTGGTGAATCACCATTAATAGTGTATGAGGATGTCTAGTTTTGAATTGTAGTTTCTAAAACAACGAACGAATTGGTAAAATTGAGTGATGTGAGCAGTGACACTAAGATACACTGCAATCTACTGTTCTTTTCTGGAATTTAATTTCATACCTAAAAAGAGTAGTGAAAAAATAGCTGACACTGTTGTATCTGCCTGTAGAGTGTTAAAAAATTTGACTTTGACAGACACACGAACTGTTAAGTGAAACGAGAGAAATGTTAATGTTGTCTGGATAGCCTGATGATGTTCACTGTTCATTCCTGAAGGATTTTACTTTCCCCAAACACAGCAGCTTTCCGTGAAAGAGACAAACTCACAACAAAGCAATAACACATCGTGACATTCCTATCGTGTGTGTAGAAATTGAAGAGAATGAGAGGCATACAAAGATGGGTTCCAGATTGTCTTCACTTCAAGTCGACTACATCTTCAAAGGAAGTGGCGAGGGTGAAGGGGCTGGTCAGTGGGGGGCTCTCCTCTCGAACTCCGACAACGTCTGTGTCCGAGCTAGTGGAGCAGTGCCGTTGACTTTCAGAGTCCGTGTCGAAAGATTCTGAAACTATCCTGCAAAACCCCCCCACCCCAGGAAAACATGATCATTTAAGATTTTGCATCTGTGATCAAACTGTTGTAGACTTGAAGGGGAACTGCAACAATATTTTTTTATGGAGGGGTTAGGGAGAATCAGCATTGATGAGTGCATCTCAAACCGCAATGTGCACAGTAACTTGTAAAACCTCCAATTTACACCACCAGATAGATGACATTTGCAGTTATGGGCAGTGCCATATTCTGTGATTCAGAATCAGGCAACAAAACTTCCAGTTTAGATAGTAAACAAGCAGGTTTGTGAATCCATCTCTTTTCATCCAACAGAAATATTTCTCTCGACTTCGCAATGGTTTTGCTGATAAAATGGAACAACTTACTTGTTGACTCTGCATGCAGATCACTTTGGAAACTTTCTGTGGTGAAATATCTGCTGCACAAGCTGTGCTTCTTCGCTAGTGCATTACATTAGTCAGTATGGTGACTAGTGAGCAGGAAGGGCCACTTCACTTCACGATTCATGGGAACTCTTACTCTAACCCGTGGCGAGACCAGGGTTTTGCAACAACATGGAGACTTACAGTGCTTTCACAAAGTTCACGATTTTGTACTTAGTTCAAATTTGTAGATGTTTGGTTCACCAGTCAAAGAATTTATTTAGTTACTAAGATTTAATAACGGGTCTGAGACAATTGGGACTGCAGCTCCTCTTCAAGGGGCGACACCCTGGTTCAATCTCAGCTAATGTTTTTTAGAATAAACGAGTATGTTAAAAATAACCATGTAGAAGAAGTATCATTGAAAAATAAGATAAAATAGTTTCAGTTCTTAAGTGAACAACTTTGTTTCAAACACAGAATGCCAATACTTCTGCCTGCAAATGTATTGCACTAAGTATGTGCAGTATAAAAAAACCCTATTATGAGTTGGCTGGTAACAAAGAAAAGAGATAAGATTTCATAGTGTATCCAAAATCCTCCAATTTCTTTAGAAAAACCAGTAGTGTATGGTTCACAGTTTGCATCCTGCATTACATTACTTCACAGATGTTCTGTAGTGTTTATTGAGATTCTCAAACCTGATCTCAAGGGATCTGTGTATAGGGAGGTACCTGTCTATGGGTCCCTTATACGAAAACACACATGGAACTCAGAGATGTTCTAAAAATGGTTCGATTAAGTGAAAGATGAGTTCATTTAGAAAGTTAAGAGGTGAGCTGGAAAGATTACCTGCAGACAAGCCCTTCTACAAGACTGGGATTAGACACTCTGTTCATGGTTATAGCTTCCTCAACTTGTTCTTGCGTGTTAGAAGTTTGTCACTGAATTTGTGTTGCAGTGACACTACATTGGCATTGAACTACCTTAAGTTTTCTAAATGCCTCTTTTAGAAACACCACCAAAACTGATATAACCACAGATTAATATGTACTCTATATGAATTACAATAACCTTTGAGAGTAAATGTTTTTCTCTTTCATTTACATTTTTGGTATAAATCTAGTTGTTAGAAACGAGACAGAAATGTTGAAAAGTAATTTCTCTCTCTTTTTAAATGACTTTTTTCTCATTTTTTTTTACTATTGCTTTTATGAATTCTGTATTTTTAGAAATGCCTTCTCGTATGTCTGCTCTGTAACCGTGGGTGATTGGACAGTGCAGATGCCTCAATAAAATCAAAAGGTCTGTTTGAGCATAAATAATTTGACAGTCCACCAGTCAGCCTTCATAACAGCCAAATATATACAGTATGGAGTAATTGAGGACAAGAAAAAGGGCACCTGTCTCAAGCAGCAGCTAAAACCAGACAGAGCTAAAGGAAAAAGAACGTGTGCTTATGCATAACCACACAGGAGCAGGATGTTTTCATAATAAATAAGGCTTAATTACCTTGGACTGCCTAGAAATAAGCAAAACAACATGGCTCCGTGAAAAAAGAACAGAATTTGGCGGTAGTTTGCTTGCCTCCTTCCTAAAAGCACTTTATGAAGCTAGGTTGGCTTGTGCTAATTCCAGTTACAATCAGCAGAATCTGTAAGATCATTTTAAGATTGTGACAACCAGATGGTCACTCTGGTATTACTGGAAAAAGACCCAAATCAATCCTGACTGCTTTTCCCATCCTGCCTTATTCAAAGAAGTTACTGTGGAACTAGTGTGGAACAGAAATTGTGTTAGGTTATCCCAGTTTTCCAAGATTTCAATTTGAAGGCTTCACCCTAGAATTTAACTTGCATGCATGTGAACATGCCGAACGCTTTAGGTTAGGAATCTGCAAAAAATGATCATAAAACAATGTGAACATTTAAATGATCATGCTGTATTAGTGCTTATGGTTTCTTTTCGTGTAATGTCTGGTAACTGTTTACAGCATCCGTATTAAAAACTCAACATTAATAAGTGGTTTGTGCTTTTGAAGGTGATTTTGAAGAGTCCTTTAGATGCACTGGCCCTCCAGGACCAGGACTGGACAATCTTGATTTAGAATAGTTCCCTAAGCCAAAGAGTTAACAGAGGGCAGTTGCAATACAGCCTGGTTATTGCTGAGTAAAGACAGTTATCCCCCTACTTGTCAGTGCTCGTTGATCTCACAGCTCCTTGTTTTGTCTCCTCCTCTGGTGGTTTGCGGGACATCCTTCTTTGTTTCTGCGGGCCTTCTGACTTATTACTTGGTTCATCAGTAAGACCTGAACAAAGAAAGCAAATGACGAAAAGCTAAGCTAGACATTTCATTGCCCATTTCTCTGTTAGGAGGAGTGCTGTTTAAAAAAAAGTGTTTTGATTCGGAGCCCTAGAGGGGTAGGTCTGCACATGCAGGAACAACTTAAAACATGCTATGATTCTGATTTCAATAAACATTTTTTCAACAATTAAGATATCCATATATATAATATATATAATATGAGATATCCAATTTGCGGTAGGTTTCTATATTAGCTTTTCGGTAGACTTAAACATCTCTTAATATAAGTAATATAATACTGTATGTGAAGACTGAGGCATAGAAAGATAAACAAACTGCAGGCATATAGATTTAGAATTTTTTAGGCTACATAAAATATATATTTTCCCACTAATACAGTCTTAATAGAATGATGTTAATAGAATGTTAACACATTCTGAGAACTGAAGTTTCTGAACAAACACTATGCGTAAGCTATGCAATTTCTCTTCTTAATACATTTAAGGAAAACTCTTCATAATTCATTTTTTTTGTAAATTTGTGGAAGTTTTTAGATGATTATAAATCTCTTCTACGCAGTTTAAGTGACTAACAGAGTTCGAATGGCTGGTGTTTTGTCCTTATTTGTTTTATTTGAAGCCATATTCAAGGGATTTTCATACCCAGTAGTTCCTTGCGAGTCCTGCTGGCAATCTCTTTGATTTCCATGCGTGACAGGGACAGGGAGTGTGTCACAGGAACTATAGAAGAAGACACGATGCCCGAGGTGGGAGTAGTGACTACTTTGTTGACCAGTGGGGACTTTAGTGGACGTTCAATGCTGCGGCCTACAAGGTTACTCAGGGGGATCTTGTAGATGTGTTTCAGCTGCACTTCACCTTCAAAACACATTGGCAACAAAGAAAGTTACCGGGATTTCCTGCTTGTTGACACCAACTGTAAAACGATGAGCAGCTTAGTAAAGCATTATTTTCTTAATAGCGAGCGCAGCAGAGCGAAAGAAGTTTTAGATGGGAAATGTTGCCAAGACATTTTTCAATATCGGTCAAGCTATTAACAGCTTATTAATGTGTCCACTTACTTATAACAGCCCTGTTGACCAGATGTTACACGCAACATATTTTCCAAACATTAGAATTTAAAACTTGAATTTTAGTAAGATGAAAGGCTGAAATGTTGAGTTTGTAGCCAGCTCATGTTTATCAAGAAAATTTAGAGGCTTTATCTGTATAACAGTAGAAGCCATATCACCCTGCAACTCACAATTGACAACCCACCGAAGGTCAGCAGGTGTGAGCCTGTTCAGTACCTGGGAAAAACTAAGGTTGCTGCTGGAAGAGGTGTTAGTGGGACCAGCAGGGGGCGCTCACCCTGCCATCTGTGTGAGTCTTAATGCGCCAGTATAGTGACTGGGACACTATATTGTAAAAAGGCACCATCTTTTAGATGAGAGGTAAAACCGAGGCCCTGACTCTCTGTGGTCATTAAAAATCCCATGGCGTTTCTTGAAAAGAGTACCAATTAAAAGAGTAGGGGTGATACCCTGACGTCCTGGCCAAATTTCCCATTGGCCTTTACCAATCATGGCCTCCTAATAGTCCCCATCTCTGAACTGGCCTCATCACTCTGTTCTCCTCTTCACGGTGAGAGTACTGGTGCGCTATGGCTGCCGTCGCATCATCCAGGTTGGGGCTACACATTGGTGGTAGTGGAGGGGAGACCCCATTACCTGTGAAGCTCTTTGAGTGGAGTGTCCGGAAATGTGCTATAAATAGTGTAAGTGTAAGGGATTATTATTAACATCTTATAATCACTGCTTCTGTACACATATGATACTGATTTAGGAAGTATTCATGCATTGATCTAATTTCCTAGTCACTTTGCAAAATATTTTTTCCAACAAAACCACAGAATTGTATCTACAGTAGTTCTGACTCTGCAGTCCGTTAAGGACGCTGCTCGAGGAGCTGACCTGTGACAGGGGAGAGACAGGTGGCTTTCCTGCCAAGGGACAAGTGAACTGCTGCTTGGCAGAAGGCACTGTCACTCAAAAGCTACCCAGCTTTACCGCAAGAGCCATTTTCTTAAAGATACTCATCTTCATTGTCAGTCATCTGTGGCAGATTTTTTTAAATACTATTAATATGTCTCTAATGTTATGATAAAATAAAGGAGCGTGCATTTCTGAATATAAGGCAAGATAGCTTCTCTGCTATTAATCCATGGCTTAAAATTCAAGCCTTTGAGAAATTCCTGAATGTGGCTTAACCTTTTTAAGTATGCAACCAGGAAAATGTCTGATTAGCATGTCTATACTAACCCAGAAGAAAATTAATAAACTGGATTACTTGGAGCCAATTGTCTAGGCATCAGCAAAAGCTAGACTACATATATATGTTTTCCAGCATCACATTTACCATTTGTTGGGATAAATAATATCTACAGTATTTGTATACAGTATTTCCAGCTTTTAATCAGTACATAGCTCTGGATGCAAAGCAAGGCATTTGCTTTTTATTTTACTGTATATGGTAGTCTTTGCAATGTAAAGGCATTAATTCTATAACCTCGCACAAAAATATTCAATAACCAAGGACAATTTTGAAACTGCAGGCAAAATACTTCATAGTATTACCATAAAATTTAGATTGGCTTCATCAAAGCCATCCTTGAATATATTTTGAAGTTTACCAACAGTCACTGTGTTCAGGCTAACTGTGAATGTCATTAAAATTCATTTTCGAGCAGATTAACAATTCTTTCTGCAATCAATTTAAATGCAATATCCTGCAGGGGTTTAAAGTAATTGGAATAATGTCTGAAGTTGATTAAAGCAGTGTCCAAGCACCTCTCAGGATTGTACCAACAAAAGCTATTCCAATTACACAGCTTAACTTTTCATTTCTGTTTCCAGTCGAGGTGCTGAAATATCATCATATTAATTTTTCAGTGAAGGCTGGAGAAACAAAATACAAGGAGCTACATGTAAAAAAGGAACATAAGTGAGACAGCGCTGTATTGCATTAAGTGGCTCCAGAACTAAATGTACAGGCAAGGCTAGAATTGAAACAGAAATTGTTTATTGATGACAGTATCACATGTGAAATCAGTCATACTGCTTTTCTAAGCCAACATTATGTCGACACTGACATGGTTGCCTGTACTGGAGAATAACCCTTAAATCCCTCTGTTGTTTTTAATGTTATGACCTACATTCATTATCAGTCTTGTCTAGACCAGCTCTCTATCATACTTTCTGACTCTCCCAAGGGATTTCTGTGGATGAAATTGCTGTTACTAGCCAAAGTCAATCAACACTGCACACCTTTTTCTTAAATATCTGATGGAGCAGAAGGGAAAGGATGTATAATTGTTTGCCATCAGTTAATGTAAAAACTCAGTATAGAAAGTCATCTGCAAATCACAGATATCTTCTCAGAAAACAACTGAAACATGTCAGAGCTGTAGTGAACCAATAGGTTCACCTGCTACCTTTTTTCATTTTTCCCAATTCTTATAGTTATGAGCTGCAAGTCCATTCAATACAGTCAAATGCTTCAGTAAATATTCCATTCTAATATCTTCTGCCAAGAAACAAACAAATTTAACAATTTAGTCTGTCAGCTCCAAATCCTGCATCACTCTGAGATTATAGCTAGCCCCCAGGGAAATATAAAAAAGCCATTTTTAATATTGGCTGCTCATTTTTTTACTTTCAAAAACCTACAGTAGATGTATAAAGCATTGCATTTTCTTTTTTTATTGTGCTCTTGGGGTGGTTTATATAATCAGCACAACCTTTAATTCCTTTTGTTCATATTTAGGTGATTTCTCAATGTATTGCTTAAATCAGATTATTACAGAAGAACATTTTTTTTAAATTGTCAAAAGGGGTTTAGAAAATATTACCTGATCCAAAAAAAGGGTCATATGGCTGAATCAGTTGAAGCAATATACTGTGCTTTGAATCTCTATGCTTAACACAGTTCAGTATATCAAGTCCTACAAATTAAATTAATACATTTTGTTGTTGGCATTACTGCTGCATTTGGCTTTGAAACAAGAAGGAACAGTTCTCCCTGAAATGTAAACCATCATAGTTGAGAGAAGATTAAGATCAAGGGTCCTTATATGATTTCTATGGTGATATTTTTTTTCCAAACTACACAATCCAGCCACTAGGTGGCATCATGAGCAGGATATTTTGTCATTGGCTACGGTGAAAATGTGAAAACAGCGTGAGTTGGAAAACATACAAATAAATACACAAGCAATACCAGTTCGCAAATAAAAGCAAATCCCAAACAAGAGGAAAGAAGTATTATTTGCAATCTTAATGCTTTTCTATTTAAGTGAAGACATAACATAGGAAGGTTAATGCAAAACCCATCTTGTACAAACAAAACCTATACATATGTTTAGACAACAAGTGAAGATTAGCAAGCATGCAGTTAAAAGAAGTGTGCATATCTACAGTATATCTTTTGGAAGACATATAGATAGGAGCACTTACAGTACAAGTATATAGTATGTACCGTAATGGAGATTTTTAAAAATTATTTTTAATAACATTTTGAATTTTAAAAGTGGCTTCTGATCTGAACAATCCAGTCAGATGACTTTTATGCAGTTGTCATGAATTACAAAATGGATTAATTTGTCTTTAATCTTAAAAAATCTCCACAGATTACAAATGTGTTAAACATGGGATTCACTTTTGTCGATGTCCACTTTCGGTGGCCACGGAGGTCGAATTAGTTGGTAAAAAAGGACACAACGACAAAAGTATACTGTATTGGTATGCTGCCAACAAATCATGGCATGCCACAGATTCCTGTTTCAATTATGGTTTTCTCTGAATCAAAATGAAGTGAAGAGATTTTAGGCTGCCATTTTTCAGTCAAGTTCCCAAACACAATCTCTTAACGTGCATGGCTTTTACTACACAGTTTAGCGAGATGTATTTTTAAAACAACTCACTAACACAAAAAAACGTGCATGTTCAGAAACCAGTGGTACAACATATGTATTAAAGAGTCTATAGATAGTCTTAAATACCTTCGGCTTCTTTTGACATATACAGGGATAGCTTTGTTCCATATGGGATCCTAATAGAATCTGATATTTAAAAGAAACACAAATAAGACACATCAAATATACAGAAAAGGACAGGCACAATACATACAAAGTACACTGAGGCTGTCACTCTGCTCCATTGTACTGTACTGATCTCTTTATGTCTTTAACCTTTTAATATATTTGGACCTGAAGCAATGATAGTTGGTCAATAAATGGACCACTGGTTCGCATTAGGAGATTTGACGCATAATACTGGGCATCCAAAAACAAATTGCTAGAAACTGACAAAAGAAGGGCACATTGCCAAATTATGAACAGATTAAATTTTCACCACTGAATTAATACATGGCTTATGGAAGTACTCTTCTTAATGAGGCATTAGGTAGACAGCACATTTCAAAATGCATCTGTGATATTGAAATTGGTTATCTGGACAGATCTCAAACTTGCATAAACCAAATCTAACATAATACAGGTAACCAACTGAAAACCAAAAACCCACAAAAGATTTACAGATGACAATCTTGAGTGTGGCAGTATAAACACCTTTTAATTTAATGTGTATCTATGATGTTAAACCAAATACTTACCAAACATAAGGTACTGTATGTAAACTTAACATTAATAACACTATTACTTTCGGGTGTTTGATTTTTACCAGCCTTTACCTTCTTATACTTATTGTTAAACTCGCTCAAGATGTGAGGAGTCTGAAATGAGGGCACAAATTCACTCCCACAGTGAATGAAGAAACCCTAAATAGAACACAGTAAATGTTTTAGTGGAATCTTCCAGGTTTTTGTAACTTACTCTAAATCACATTACTCCAGTCGCTTTCACATCAGGCTAATCTGCATAGGGAGTAGGAGTTTGTGAGAGCTCCTAGACTTATAAGGAGAGATGGCTTGATCTGATGTGACTGTCTTCTTGCCACAGAATATAGGGTTTCGTAAAATCGAGACTGATAAATAGTGAGTGAATTGTGGAATATAACACCCCCAGGGCACATTTTGCATCTTCGCATCACAGATGGAGACAGTCAAGAACAGTAACTCCATGCAGATGATGACAAAGAGAGACCGACAGTCAATATCAAAATGTAATTGGGGTCAGCAGTGTCGTGTCAACAAATCGAACCCTGGTCACCAGCTTCTAAGGCAAGGGTATAACCACATCACCAAAAAGTCTGAGCAAGGCCAAAACGCACTGTCTTAACCGCGTACAAGCCAAGGGGTTGTGCACAGTATGATATAGTAAAAACACATTTCTGCGCTGAATCACATTCAAGCTCAGCACTGACACTATGTAAAGAACTGAAGTAGTTATCTTGACAATTGCTGGTGACTCCTGGGGAAGAAAACCATATGGAAATCCCAAATCTGTAGAAATTTTAGCTCTTATAGGAGTTCCATTTTAAAAACAATGGCTTTAGTTGTTTGATATAGAATTTAGGATATAGAATAGTCCTAAAATAGTACTGTAGATGCTCTATAACTGTCTTGGAGTTTTTTCACAATTCTCATGTATACCAGGAAACACCTCTTGTTTGTTCCATACATCAAGGTATATAAATTACAAACCAGGTTAATTGGGTTTATGAAGCAACAGTATACCTACTAAGGAACAGGTAACGGGTTTATTTCATGCTGAAAGGAAACACAAAGTTTTGGCTGTGGAGCCTTCTTCAAGTGTGAGGGGTCCACACAAGGCTCCACAGCTGAAACGTTGTGTTTTCTGTCTTTTCTCTTCAGCAGGGAATAAACCTGTTACCTGTTCCTTTGCAGCCTGCGCATGCTGACGCAGCTCCCTACTTGAACTACTTCAGTATACCTACTATGCACTATATTCCAGAGGAATTTGTTAGCTCAAATTATTCTTCTCATGTACAAAGTCCTCTCTACATGCATACCAGCAATGCACTGCTTGATCCCAGATTAGCCATTTTTTAATAGCAAGGACTTAACAAGAGGGATGGGCTTGACACATTAAATTTCCTAATCATTTTATTTTTTTCTCTCTTGACCACACAAATTGAATTATTAAATTTTCATTGAGACTTTGAACTCTCACCTAAATAGCTGTAATTTTCTACAGCTACCCCGTAATTGAAGTCTACAGGTAATGATCAGAAATTGTTTTTCCATTGTCAGGAAAAACATTCATCCAAACAGACTGGTATAAAATTGTGTAAAGCTGTTTCGCAAAGCAGGAATGCAATATTGCAATGTGTTCACTATTGCAGTTATGTTGTGCTGAAAGCATAGAGATGTTATACAAAGAAGCAGGGTGCCCCATATATCTCTGATAACATTTACAGGAAGCTATTTATGATTATTTATGAAGGGGTCCACAATGTAGCAGAGGAGAAACGGCCTGATTCAGGAATTAAGATTTGTCCATTTTGTCACTGAGGTATAGATGGTCACATTTCAGTCATCACCCTATGAAGATAACATCTTGACACTCTTGCATTGAGGCTTAGTTATGCGCTCCACCTAGACCAGTGTATCAAGGAGGCTTTGCAAACCTTTGCCATATAAAATAAGATTTGGATATTACTTGCTGAACCTTTACAATATAAAACTGTACAGCTGTACTTTTTAGAAAATGGTGATGTGTCACACATGTTGCTGATAAACAGCAATGGAGGGTCTGAGTTTAAGAAGAAAGGACTCGGTCAAAGTTTCTGCAGTTGTCACTGTTATGCATTTACGACTCATTGTGCTGTATACTTAGGAAGAAATCAATACAACCGCCATTGCCTTTGTCTTGGCTTCAAGAGAGGAGGCAAATTAAGTGAGCAAGTGAGCATCCATCTCTTTGACACTGACATGTGTCTGGCAAACCAGCTGTGAAAAATAAATAAATACAGACAGCCCAGGGTCTAAATAAAGTAGAAGAGGCATGCAAACTGAAGCTACTCTTGGACGATCACAGGAGTGGGAAATGAGCACCTGTGTTTTTGAATGTACAAACAAGCTACATTCCCACTGTCTGATGCTCATTAAGTGAGCCACCCCATTATTACAGCCTATTTTCCTTACATGAGAGAATTAAAAGCGAGCACAATCACGTCCCAAACAAATTGTCTGTGTTTTATCAACACGATTAAATTAAATGCGGATGCATTCGCCTCAAAGATGTGTAGTCTTGGTGAATAAATAAAATGCAAACCTGAAAAATTATTCAGAATCTTTCATTCAGCATTCAATCCCCCCAGAAAACCAGAAAAACATCTTCTGTTTCAGAAGCTGCACATCTCCAGATGGCTTCTCTAGTTCTCTTAAAAAATATTACTGCTTGATGCAACTTTATTTTCCTTCATGGGAAATCTGTCACAAATCTGCAGCTGGGTCTTAATGATTCAAAGAAAATGTAATTATGGGGCCTTATGTTTTTATTCGAGGGTACAAATTGCTGTAGTACTCTGATTACTTTGAGACTGCAGTGGAAAATGGACTGAATTCTAAAATACCCCTTTCAAACCATTTTAAAATCAAATTAACACCTTCTAAAAGAGACTGTACATTTAATTCTTAAGTTTTAAGATGATTTCAAGTGGATTACATTCATTAGTGAAGGCGCTAATGGCAGGAATGAATCAAAGCCTCAGTGAGCCTATTTCCCATACTGTATCTTTAACACTGTAAAGTGATAAAGAAGGGATTTAATTAATCAGCTCCATCACCGCAGTGTCATCGGTATGATAAGCTTGATGGTTTCACTGTTTTTCCCCAACCATTCACTGTTTTAAAGCATGCTCTCTCTCTCTCTAAGCAGTTCAGCTTTGTACACCTAAATGTTGAATTGAGCTCTAAATCTATATTCTCCGTCACTACGATTGGAGGTCTCAACAGCAGAAACAGATTCTGCTTATTCGACACTTTCTCTCTGATTTAACCTGGGTGGATAACAACGAGAATGCGCCGTCATCTTAGTCCTGTTATCCTCGGCTGTCCAGATTCCACGGCTGCCTTCAAATCGGGTTCTCTTGGCTACCTCTTTTCAGGCACACTTTCCACTGTGAGCTGCAGTTGGTCTATTTGCATTTCCCCCCTCCCACCTCCCATCCCTCCTGCTGTGCTGAGTCCCTCTCTCAGACAGCCAGTGCCTGCTTCATTGTCTGCATTTCAATTGAGAGAGCGCTTCAAGAAAAAAACCCAACATTCAACGCCAACATAAAATGGAGAGACAGCCTTAGACTCGCAAGTCTGTAATGGCACGTTGACTCTCGCTCCTAATTCCATGCAGTGCTCGTTTGCGTTTCCACAACGTCTGGCATTTCTGGAAGTGGCGGCAATGAAAGATACAGTACTGTATTATTAATGGATTATTTGTCAAGGGTGCAAAGCACTTTCTGCAGTGTTTCCCTCTGCCATTGCAGGCCTGCTCTCTTCAGAGGGGGACACATCCCTTGTAGGTTAATTAAAAAACACAAAATGATTAATCTAGGAAGAGAGCTGTAACACATTACTAATGGAAATTCGAATGTACTGTATTGCAGAACATTGTTTCCAATATGAAATAGGGTGTGTATAGCCTTCTTAGATAAAGGTTTGGTACCAACGTTATTATTGTGAAGTTGTTGAACATTTAGAGAGACGGAACATGTTTTAGTCAGCAAAGAGAAACAGAGCTCACTGAAGCATGTTATCACAAAAAAGATGTCCTGCAAAGTTTTCAAATAAAAAAAAAATGACAGTTTTCAACCAAACTTTGCTACAAGGTTTTTTTCTCTCCTCCCACAGACTTCAAAAAGGTCTATTCTGAGCTCAATGAGGACAGTCGATCCATTTTTACCGAGGTTTATTTAAAGTGTGTATTTTGTATCCGTCAGAAGCAGATCATCTTGTCACCAGCTATCAAATAATGAAACATTTGGAGGCTTTGATGTTGGCACTTATTTTTCTTACCTTCATCTTAAACAGCAAGATCGCTTGTTAAATACACATGTAATATACAGTACTGCAGTCTGTCTATTGCCCTCCTCTCTGCCTGTGCTAGCTCAGCTCAGTTGCTCTGCTCTGGCCATTTATGATTTCCTTCCTCTCACTCTGCTGTAACCTAGGTGAGCTTATTAACCTTATTGTCACAGACAGCTAATGTGTATTATTTGCCATCCCCCAACACCTGTTTTCACAGCCCAAGTTAGCCCATTAGTAACCTCATGCTCAGCTATCCTCCTTTACATATAAACCCTACCTAATGGACTGCAATGTGCATCAAATGGAAGGGGTGTAGAGGGTATTTTAGTCAGAATGCAACCCAAAGATTATTGTCTGTCTCACTTCCCATTGAAACATTTCAGCAAAGAAAGTGAAAGCTACCCGTTTGCTAGTATCTCATAGAATTTTATTTTAATAGGGATCCCAGTAGAATACGGAATGAGACACTATGCCAGCCCCTGTACAGCTGATGTGGAGGACCTGTAGTGGGCTGTGACTCTAGACTGTGATTCAGAATTGGTTCTGCTGTACCAATTCAGATGTCTGAACACTTTGGTGTGAGAAAATACAACACATTTTGTATAAACTGTAAATATACAGTATATCCCATCTATTCAGTTTTATGACTCCATAAGGTCACCTGAAGCTGCTAAATTTAGTCTATGCAATTCCCACATTTTATTAATAGAGCTTTAATTTTTTAATGTTAAATCAGCAACATACACAGCCTGTTCAAATATTATTTGAACGTTACCACGTCATTTGTTTATTTTTATTATTTTAATTTGTTTAATCATAATATATTTTTGTTTGGATGTCCTGTTGTGGATTAGAAACCACAGAGCAACTTGCACATTTGTTATCTCTTTTTGCACCTGAGTGTGACAGCCTCTCTCTATATCTGTGCACAGATCAGGGGGTTCACCCCCATCAGGCTTACCGTCCCCTAACGGTGATGGGAAAGTGGGCATTTCGTAGCCCGTCGGTGTTTGGGGGGAACTGTGGGAGCTGGTGTCTTTGGAGCTGCTGTTGGAGGCTGCATTCACTGCAGCAGAGGACACAAAGTAAATATCCGACTGCAAAGACAGAGAAAGCATCAAAGAATTTTGGAGGAGACGCAACTGCTGTTAGTTTTGTAGCATTTCAGAGAGCTGTCTTTTTTTTCCCTCTTCCTTAACAGTGCTTATTTTTGTCTAGACTGACAGCCACCTCCACTCTCCACACAGCATGTCAGCATCAACACGTTAGCCTTCAGTGTAACACACAACACAGAATCAGAAAGCATAGCTGCTCATTTTCCCTTGCATCTTGTGGACGGCTTGCATTCACACTTCACTGGCTGTGCTGCAGAAATAACAGAAGATCTTACTGTGCAAATCCCTTCGACAGATCTAGCTGTAGAAAGCCTCAGGCACAAAGAAAACAGTTTAAAGTCTGCAGACATTAGGTCATTTATACCTACCCTAGATGCTGCAAGCTGGAGTTCGGGGACCACAGCAGTGTGGACTAGATTTCCATTCACCACTAAACGGATCTCGATGGAGTCGGTAGTAAATGCCAAGATATAGGGGAAAGCACATACTAGAAAACAAAAGGAATTATTTTTTAATATGGTACACATTTACCTTCAGTATCGCATTGCAATGAACAGATGCAAAAGATAGACCTTCTCACTGTCCTCCAACTCTCCAATTGCATTTTATTTGTGTGACTGATATTTTAAATTGGAATGTGCATTGCTGTCAGTGCTTCATGACAGTGGTGGCAGCCGCCCATTAATAAGAATGAGTGTCCTCCTGTCTTGACGTCCAAACGGAACTAGTTTGTTTTGTCACATGAGTGTAACAAGCATTCATGTGCATATGTTTCTCAGCTGCTGAATTGGCAGTTGGGAGTGTCTGCGGTAGCTTTTAAAAAAACTCACTCGCCATGTGGAGAAACGCTCTTCTGCTTCTTACCAGTCCGTGTGGAAACCAAAACCATGTTGTTTTTTTTACACAATTGAGTTTCAGCTCAATTTCGGTTCAATGACTTTAGTTCAGAATTCAAAAGAAAAGTGAAAAGGCTTTTGATGAAAAATCCTCAAGCATTTAGGTGCTGTTATCACCTGCTGTTTGATTTCAGTTGGTATTTTACTGTCATTTTCCCATACTGTATGTTACCCTATAAATTGCCTCATTTTTGGGCTCTGAGCATTCTGAGAAAGGGTGCCTACCGATTGAATTGGGAACCTGATTCCAGCTGAAGTGGAAATCAGAAGCTGAGGACTGAATCATTGGAGTAGCTCCATTGAATGGGCAAACCTTCTTGTAGTAACAGATGTCTGCAAAGAAAAAGGGGAAAATGTTTTACAACTAATGTTACAAGATTCCTTTAAAATATTTTTATAGCTTAATGTTTTCAAAGGTGATTTTCTATCTTTAGATATGTCCCGTTAAAATTACTGAGCAGTGATTTGGTTTGATAATTAAAAACACAAAAATGCAATGATTAACCTCCTTAAGATCATCTGATTTGTAAGTTATTGTAAACCGGATGACAGATGACACTAGTTTGTCCCCACAGAAATGTTTGTCTTGGAGCTTCATTCTTGCAGTAACCTAATCTGGCCTCCAGTGTATCTTTGCACTTTTGGTTAGTATAATCACGTACAAGTGATTTGACAAATATTATTGTCTAAAATACTGTAATTAAATGAAGATGTGCTGCTCATAAACAAACATAAAAACGTCGGTTTCTAATTGTGTTTATACATATATATGTACAGTATTATAGTTATAGTTCAACTTTGATTGAAAAAGGAAGAAAATCATTTGTTTGGTATCATTTGTTGGACTGCATCTCTTCTTCATAGTTTCTCAATCTTGCAACAGACAGATTCCAATGGTTTACCAACTTCCCAACACCATCCTGGTAGGTACCTGCTGCAATGTTGAGTTGAGTTGAGTGGCCAGCTCAAACAGATTATCAAGGAAATTTAGAGGCCTTATTTATATAACAACAGCAGCCATATCACTCTGCAACTCATAATTGGCAGCCCACTGAAGTTAAGCAATTGTGAGCCTGGTCAGAACCTGGATGGGAGACCTCCTGGGAAAAACAGGTTGCTGCTGGGAGAGGTGTTAGTGGGGCCAGTAGGGGGCGCTCACCCTGTGGTCTGTGTGGTCCTAATGCCCCAGTATAGTGACGGGGACACTATACTGTAAAAAGGCGCCGTTCTTCGGATGAAACTGAGGTCCTGACTGTCTGTGGTCATTAAAAATCCCAGGGTGTTTTCTCGAAAAGAGCAGGGATGTAACCCCAGCATCCTGGCCAAATTTCCCATTGGCCTTTACCAATCATGGCCTCCTAATAATCCCCATCTACTGTATGAACTGGCTTTATCACTCTGTCCTTCTCCACACTAATAGCTGATGTGAGGTGAGCGTACTGGCGCACTCTGACTGCCATCGCATCATCCAGGTGGGGCTGCACACTGGTGGTGGTGGTGGGGAGTCCCCATTACCTGTAAAGCGCTGTGAGTGGAGTGTCCAGAAAAGCGCTACATAAGTATAAGGAATTACTATTTTTATTGTTGTGGTCTCCAAAGAGCTTTAATTCAGGGGCAAAATCTGGACATCATGGAAGATATAGTAGAGATTTAAAATGCAGTCTGCTTAAAGTGTTTATGATGTATATAGAATACGTTGCAGTCCTGCATCATCATGCCATAGCAGAACACCCAATCGTATCTACAGTTCCCCTCCAGATCCATAAAGGATTTTTACTGGGGTTGATTATTTGCCACTTTTTCTGCCAGAACTTGTCTCAAATATTTAGCATTGTGTTTAGTGAACCATTCGCATTTATGACTAACCTGTCCATCTCTGATTAATAAGCTAAAGCATCCTAAACCTACTTTTGTGGATTTCCGTTCTTGGTAATGTAGATAAATTGCTGTAATCCAACAGCATAAACACACTATGCTGAGTTAAATTATACCTTAATCAAATTATTCTACATTTTATCATTTGTTTCCTCTTTCTGTTTTGGTTTTCAGGATCTGTTACCTTCAGTAACCCTGCAATATTAGATTAGTCAAACAACGCTTTAATTTCTGTTTGTTCCTGTTATCAGGAAGAATTAAAGTATGAAAATGAAAATCCTAATTAATTTTCACAGACCATATACCTTCGCTGTTATACAGCCAGTGCATGGTGTTCATTATCAATACCCAGTTACTGTATTCTGCACATGCCTACCAGACTGTGACTATGCTATTAATACTTATTCCAACATTATGATGTAAAACAGCCCCTAGTCTTTGTTTGACAGACCTTAACCCCTAAAGAAGATAATATTGACATTGTATAGCTCTACTGCACAAAAGCCAATGACCTTTCGTTATCAGGAAATGAATGCCATTTTCCAATCTGCCAATACCAAGGATGCACACTTTTTATGACTCTGACGTGTAGGCTAAAGCATTTAGATTGAATAGATGTTTCCTAAAGCCCCTTTGCAAATGTTCATTAATATTAATTTTGTACTGGAAAATTACTGTCCTCCTACTAAAAGCATTTATAGAGGTGAAAGATCAGATTTAATGATCTTTGCCAAATCTGTGTTGGTGGTGATGGGATTGGTTGATTTAGAACCCTTTTAATGCTTATAGCATAATATGTGAATATTTATAATAATAATAATAATCATAATAATAATTGCTTACACTTATATAGCGCTTTTTCTGGACATTCCACTCAAAGCGCTTTACAGGTAATGGGGACTCCCCTCCACCACCACCAATGTGCAGCATCCACCTGGATGTTGCGATGGCAGCCATAGTGTGCCAGAACACTCACCATACATCAGCTATCAGTGGGGAGGAGAGCAGAGTAATGAAGTCAATTCATAGAGGGGGATTATTAGGAGGCCATGATTGGTAAGGGCTAATGGGAAATTTGGCCAGGACGCCGGGGTTACACCCCTAGTCTTTTCGAGAAACGCCCTGGGATTTTCATTGACCACAGAGAGTCAGGACCTCGGTTTTATGTCTCATCCGAAGGACAGCTCCTGTATACAGTATAGTGTCCCCGTCACTATACTGGGGCATTAGGACCCACATGGACCGCAGGGTAAGCGTCCCCTGCTGGCCCCACTAACACCTCTTCCAGCAGCAACCTTAGTATTTCCCAGGAGGTCTCCCATCCAGGTACTGACCAGGCTCACACCTGCTTAGCTTCAGTGGGTTACAAGTTGTGAGTTGCAGGGTGATATGGCTGCTTGCTGCTATTTACCTTATTATTATATAACTTTAATAATCTAGTAATATGTTTTCTCCATTATCTTACTCCACAGAGTTTTTCAAATTAGACAAACATGTCTTGTCTTTTAATGGATATTGTATCCTAATGCACAGGATACAGAAATTACAATAAATCAGAGGTATTGAAACTGATATTTTGAGAAGCTAAGAGATTATGAATGTGCTCCATTATTCATCTAGCTCTTCACACACCTTATACAGATTTGTTCCATAATATTGGGACTATCTTTAGTTTTTGAATAACTCTCTTATACAGGCCAGGAAATAGAAATACCTCTGAAAACAGTTGTTCTTACGAGATATTACTCACAATGCTGTCTACTGTATGTTGTATCCACAGAATATTGAAGTTCGTGGCACAAATTATACAGTTTACTCAGCAAAATAGAATGAGAAGATTGCCAATGCAGGGCATAAGACTAAACCACGATGAAAAAAGTTGATATTTTTGTATGGCTATATTTTGGATTTTACAGTATATATCAGAAACTATGACATTAAGCATAAACATGAGACTTGCACATCCAGAAAGAGACTTGTCCATCTGAATGTTTCTTGACATTGGTTGGCTCAATAGGGAAAAATTCCACCGCTGCATGAGAAATGGTCTGTGATACAGACAAGGTAGTCCACTCTGGATGAAAGATGTGGCAGTTCTGTCAGTCTGAAACATGGTGAATCCACCCAACAAGACATTTTGCCCTCAAGGCTCAGTAAACTACCAAGGTGAAAAAATCTACAAGATGTAATTATTCAGTGGGCAAGCAACTGAGATGTGGGAACACATTCAGGCTATGTCATTATGTTTTCACTTACAAATAATTTCCTATTTACAGTTTTTAATGCTTGATTCTGCCTATATAGTTTTATCTTTAGGAAGTTTGTAAATGAAATCACTGATCAATTGAAGCCAGCACGTTACAGCTTCTAATATGATTTCCAGAAATTCCAGAAACGCCTGCAATCATAATGTGTAAAATAGAATACATGTGTTTTTATATTGCAAAGAAAACATGATAAATTGCCAATTGTAACCTCCTGAATTAGGCTGACCTTCTTGCCATCAGTAAACCACTAGGAGGTTATCAAAGAAAAAAATCTGCCCTTCTTTGCAATAAATATTTTAGGTGTTAATGTTGTCAAAAGGGCATTGATACTCACAGTTGTAGCACAGCAAAAGCCCAGCTTCCCCATCTTCGTACACGTCTATTGCTGCAACAAAATTGACCTGAAAAAATACAACTTCGAATTAAAAAAACAAAACTCACCTGAAGGTCTCAACAAAATCACTCAGGAGTTTAAACCCTTTACAACCTCATCTGCAGACTGCTGTTTGTGGCACACTATCATTAAATGACAAACATCCAAAATGCTTTTTCAGAACTTCTACACTACAATATCTGTCATAGGAATTACTGTTCATTTCGCATGTTCAAGCCAAATGGCCCAGTGTACTTGCGCAGTGCAATGATGTTTTTTTTTCTTTTTAAATTTCAGACCTTTTTTAAAAGTCATCGGGGCCAAGCATAAACGAATGGCCAAGACTGGACAGACCTTCATTCCAGCTGCCCAAATTCTCTTCTGGTCAATCTACAGACAGGCTGGTGTTAAGACCTTGGGACTCAGGATCATCAAAGGTTAGTGACTCAAGAAACCAAGGCCTCTGTGCAGTCTACCAGTTCTGCAGTTTAATCCTTCATGCAACATGAAGCCTAACCCCATATTACGTATTTGTCTCAGCTGGACCATGCAGGTTTTGGTTTGAAAAGTGTTGGTGGTTGTACCCTGTTGGCATCCACGTGATGCAGCCTGTACGCTTCACCCGTGCTCTCGTTTATCAAGTCGAACTGATGCTTGTAGGCCACGCAGATCATGTTGTCATATTCCCCCGTAGGCCCATCCACAAGAGCCATCACCACAGGGGGATCACACAGGCAGATCTCCTGCAACCAAGAATAACGTGTGTCATACTGTATAAGCTGATCATTTGTCTTAAATCACCGTGTGCACATGCTCTAATAGAATCTTTCCTTTTGTCGGTTTCAAAGGAAATTGTTATATTTCTTTGGTCTGTTAAGGCACCTTTAGTGCACGAACCAGTGAAGGCCAGCAACCACTGGGGTCTGATAAACTGTCATGCATTTCTTTATGGTTTTCATTTAGGCTGCCCCATGAAATGACCCAGACCATTCTGTGGCTTTAAAAGGTTTGACCATTTTCAAATGCCTTTATTTTGTTCATTTTTTTCTAATGGTCAATAGCCTTTTGGATCAAGAGCTCTAGGAAAAGGGGCATCGTTAAGTTGTCCCTGCTGATGTGATGTAATCCGGCGCAAATGCCTGAGAAGCGGTCTCTGTCTGAACCCTGGAACGGAAACGGAATGAGACTGTGTTTTACCCTGATGTACTGGAACTCTTCGACGGGCGACTCGGTGGGTGCTGTTACCATGGAGATGTTGGTTAGGCTGTCCGGTCGGTGATGCTTTCTGGTAATGAGGAGCAGTTTGTTCCGAATGGCCGCTACAATCCGCAGCTCAGAGCTGTGGTGAGTGTTAATGGAATACAAATGGCAGCCTGCAGAGGGAGAAAATTGCATTTGCAGGAGACGGGGCTTTATTATCTCTTCAATTACTTCATCTTGTGCCGGGTTTCAGAGCACTTTGTTAATGACAGCCTTACAGACGTTTTTTAAACATCACTGCTTTTTTTGAATAAATTAGCAATTTAATTCTTTTTTATAAAATACAGTTTGTACTTCTGTAATATTTTGTTTTTTGTAGCAAACAATTGCATATTATCCTTTCCTCTAGCTGTGAGATAAGGTGTTTATTAACTGCTGTACCATTCATAAAAATACAAAGTATATATATTTCTTAGAACATATAAGTGGTAACCGTTCTCTTAAGGTTTATCAAAATATAGTTCCATAGATAAAACAATGTTCCAGAAACATTAGTTTATTAATTTAATAGTTTCAAGTTCCTTTTTCACTCACTGAAAATGATGTCCTCTTTTCACATTCCAAAGCACTAAGCATTAAGTTTAATTTTTTGCACAGACCTCCGATTCTTTTGACCTGAACTTCTTTAGGTTTAGGTGACAGTACGTTCTGAATAGACTGCTTTATCACTCCATGGTGTTTGTCCACCTTTACGCATGGCTCTCAGACTCTCCTACGTTTTGAGCCGAGCTTCTCGGAAAACAGATCCAGCAGGAATCCTACAGTACATGCCAAGGTCTTTCCCTTTATAAAATCTATCATTTTGGACATTTTGAGCTGCTGCTTTTCAATGCAATTATCCCTCTTTAAAATGGCACGAGTGCATGTGTGCATTCAATGAGTACACCTCACTGAACAGGTATGCTAATTGAAAGGGTAAGATGATGAAGTTATGACCAAGGAAGAGCTAAATAAGAGCAAACTAATTAGACCACAGTAATTACAGCTGAGAAAATTAGCAATAAACCATGGCAAAACATTGGAAGGTTTCTCTGTGATGACCTTAATCAATATCTGAATGTAAGGCCTATTCTCTGTGGATGCTTTCCTTGTTGGGCATTAAGAGTATTTTCCATAAATGCAGTATTTTGTCTCACTTGGGTGATGAATCATGCTGCAAATTTCATCCTTTACCCATACTCTATATTTGACTAAAACTTCTTGAAAGATTTGATGTAAGTCACCATTTTGCATGGGTTTGAGTACTGAATTTTAATTCCACCTTGCTTTTTCATTCAGATTTCCTGTTCACAAATGGACAGTTAAGGTGGCGATCTTGCAGATGACACCAGTGGCATCTCTTTGTGTTCTGAAGCACCTAGCTCTTTTCACATTACGAGACGACGATGGTAGACCATTGTACATTCTGGATTGTGCCGTATATAATGAAAATGAGAGGATGATTTTTGCTGCATGGAAACTGAAACAAATCAATACTGTGGCTTGGCCAGATCACGTCTCCTTCGGCTGGCTGGTGGCACAGCTGAAGAGGTGCCAGCACGTCTTTGTGACAAATCAAATACTGCAGACCTACTGTACCAAGGGGGATAGGAAATGAATCTACTGAATTCATCAGCTGCTATTTTCTGAGGTCGGCTTTCAATCGAGTGTGATAAAGGGAGCCCTTAGGTTATACCTTCCTGTTTTGCTTTGAAATAGAAGGATAGATAGTTTTTCAAGCTACAGAATAAACAAAGAAATTAACAATGTGCAGATTTTAACAAAAAGGTGAACTAGCACCTAAACCCGACTTCTCCTTTTCTCGCATGATAAAGCACAAAACACCTGATTGCACATTTATTTTTACTGTTTTTAGTAAAACTGATTTGGCTCTTGTTTCTGAGAGACACTGAAACAAACAGTGTGGTGCACTGTGATTGTGAATGCAGTCTGCTCCGTTAGTCTCCAGATATAAATCTTCACAGTATAGGACTGATTATGCTAGTGTTCTCTGTTTCACTGAATTTATAAAATGTTTTTCTTATTTTAAACAGCTTTTTACTCCTGGTCAGTCAGTTTGCATTTCATGGCCTAGTATGCTAGACTCACTACTCACCCCTACCAAAATGTCTCTTTTTAACCTATTAAGAGCTTAGGAAGGATATAAGTTCTCTATAATTGTCACTCTAAGATGAAAGCAATGAATGATTCTTAGAGCATCAGTAGGGATTTGTGTGTACGTCTGTTAAAGTATATCTGTGTCCAAACCGATTTCCTTTGAAAAGCTGTTCAGTTTTGCTGAAATGCTAATGAATTCACATATTTGACCAAATTATTTTTAAAATATGGAGATATTCATATACAGCAAGACATTATTAAGGAGCTTCAGTCCTTTTATTGACTCCACCACCACCAGAAAAGCAGAAGAAAGCCATTCCTACCTTTTGTTTTCTCAAGTTTGTTTTCTCTGCTGTCATACTTGCTTCGGACTTGCCTGTCCTCCAGACCTTTCTTAATGGCACCCAGCCTAAAGACGAAAAGACGGGCATCTTTTCCTGTTGAAAACATGGCGTGTTTCAGATACCAAGAGTGCAATTTTTCTCTCAAGCCAATAACCAAATTTGTGGTTTGCCCACCAAAGAAAAACAACTCTTTTTATTTTTATGAAAACTAGGCAGTCTCTTTGCATCAGTTTAGATAGATACGATCAATACACACTGATCATTACATTATTGTGTGGTGAATGACACCCACATCAACATTGCATTAACTTGCAACTAAGTACAGTATGATGAGAACTCAAACCTCAGAGTGCCTTGTACTTGGTACTTGGTTAATAATGATGTCCTGATTCATGTAAACAGAAGTGACCCCTCCATTGTGTGTTGTGCTTACTACCTTGAGAGTACACAACATAGTCTAAAGAGTGTGTGTCTGTTTTTATTTTTGATATACAAAGCCTTTAAGAAATAATAATAAACCATTGTTTTATTTTAATTGATATAGAGTAACTGGATGTAGGACGTTTTTCTGTTGTAAAAGACCGAAGGAATGTTTGAAAGGATTCTGACAAGGAGACATTTATTTTTATTAGTTGTGTAAAGCTTAATATAGAAACCATTACAGATGTATTTATTTTACAATGTCATTAAAAGCTGTCTTTAAACTTAAAACGTAACCTAGATAGAAGTGTTTGATCATTTCTTTATAATCACATTCATTTTAAATGTAGAAATAATTGTATAATGAATGTCTGCATTGCTGAACTTAGGGTAGTGTGCTTCAATTCTTTACTCATACTGAGCAGGCAGATGTGAAAGTTGCACACTTAGATTTATTGCAGATGAAAACTTGATATTTCTGGTTCACAAGAAGGTAGTAAAGAGCTTTCTGTATATTTAAGTATATTCAGTAATAAGCAATGGAAAGACACCAGATTTACTTTACCTTTGCAGTGCAAATAAGTACTTCAAACAGTTCACTTTCTTCCTTCCACAATGTTGTCTTTGCAGAATTTTGTACTGCATATTGGTCTACCTTAGTAGACAAGTATTTCTTTTTGTTTACACGTCCTTTTATGGTTTGTGCTGATAGCATCTGGTATTTAATGCAGCATAAGTAAACTGGTATATTACAGTATATGACTAATGTTGCTGAAGGAGCGTGGATACTCATTAAGAAGAAATTCCCATGCTCAGAGAGCACGCACCATCAAGCAGACATCGAAACATGCGTTCTTGGAGACAGAATGAGTGTGAACCACTGAAAAATCCATTCATAATTACGGCGGTCTGCTCATTCATTATTAAAGTTTTCATTCAGAAGGCTTTATTAGTGGAAAATTGGTCTATTTTTCAAATAAGGGTTATTAGCATGGCTGTCACAGTTCACCAGGGAATTGTGGAGAGTAAAGTTCATTAGAATCAGAAAAAAAACAGGTGGCTCAATTGAACAGAGAGAAATGAAATGCCTTTAACACTTTTTAGCAGGAAGGTTCAGCCAGCCTCTTTGTCCATTAAGAATACACCCTAGTCTGACAGGGATTTTTAAGGGATAAAGGGTTGTTATGGATCTCTGCTTCTGATTGTTTTCCAGGTGTGCAGAGAATGACGCACAGACATGCCACCTGTTGTGAGAAGGTTCTTCCATTGAGTTACTTCAGACCTTAGCATTGTTAACATGAAAACTCTTGCTAACATACACACCAAGTGCATGTTCACACCATGTATGATCAAAAAATACTGAGTGGCTTTTCACTTGAGTGCCATGGTCTCTTAATGGTTCTATAATTAATTGCATATTTATTACAAATTCAAAGTGAAGAATCGAGGTACAGTATATGGAATTCAGATAATACTTATATATAAAAGTAAAAAGGGAATTATGTTAATACTAAATAGTAAGTTCATTACTATTAATGTAAGTACATTACAACAAAAAGATAGGAAAATAGCTTGGTACTGTACTGTAGGTACCAAAAGAAAAAGTGCAATATTCTTCCTGTCCAGAAGAATTGTTCAGAGTTTTATATTAGGGCTAGATATTGTGTTAATTTTATATAATGATAATCAAATAATTGTGAAATACAAACATTTTACTACAAAATACACTTCAGGTCCCTTCCAGTTTTTCCTTCTCCAAACCAATTCTCAATTCCAAATCCATGAATGTAAAAAAAGGAATTGAAGTTCGGAATTGGAATTGAAAAAGTGAAATTGACCCCAACTCTCTTAACAAATGGGGCTTCCATGTTCGATCAAGAGGCTACAATATTCTCACCAGCAATATTTCGTGAGCCTTCCTAATTAAGCCACACTATTATAACGTGGTTAACCAAATATGCATAGTTAGAGATGTACTGCTGTGTGCCAGTATTTAAGTAATGTACAGTATGAGGACTCCTTGCGGTCAGTAATTAACAACAACAGAACTCAATGTGACCACAGAGCTGCTATTAAGGAATGAACAGACAATAAACAGGAAAGAGAATTTAAGTGAACTATGATTTTGAAAGTTGGGCAAATTAATTCAGTTTGCCTGACTAAGCAAAAGATTTAGCAAAGTTCAGCAAGTTCCACTATACATAAATGTGCTGTTATACAGTACTTCTGGTAATGCCTTTTAAAACAACAAAGAACCATATTCAGACACGTTTAGCTAAAATATTTTTAAGGTGTTTTGAGAAATACATTGCACTTTTCCAGCAAATCTTTTGACAGGAGTATTTATATAACAATAACATACTTTACATGCCAACATATTCTATATAAATTAAAATACATTTTCTTAGAAACAAACTGCAAAGTACAGAATTTTCTTTAGAACCTCAATATTTGTTTTTAAAAAATAAGTTCAGATACTGCATTTTTTATTTTGTTTCTACACCAGCACTTGTCTGTGATGGCCTTAGTACTGATGTTCGTATATCACAATTTCAAAGTAGCTTTGATAACAATAATTGCTTTTTATATGGCCCTATCTGATGGTGCTTTGAAATCAAGCAATCTCTGCACAAGTGCAATGTAAGCAATTATCTGCTCCAGCAATCACACTGAGGGGCACTGATTAGAGTCCATGACTCAAGGCTCCTTTCCCACAATATTTACTTTTCAAATGGGCTAAAAGCCATATTGTACATTTTAAGAGTTTGGGACAGACTATAGCAAGTTTTCTTTTTTAAGAGGAAACATTACCCAATATACATCTTCTCCTAGCCCTTAGCAATATCAACATTTTAATAAAAATAACAAATGAAGTGAACTAAGTGTAGCAGTTGGTCTAATTCATTTAGAAAGTCTCCCATTTACACCAGTCCAGGTTACAAATACAGGCCTCTAGTCCAACCTATCCCACAGTTCACTGCACCAACAGACTCCTCCACTCCATTCTCTGCCACTAATGCTGAAACCCCTTGATCATCGGTATTTTGAAACAGCCTCATCCTCTTGGCTAAACTTAAAACAGGGTGCTTAAAGGCCTACAGTATGCCATCTTTTCAAACCACATACATTTTCATGTTGGTGCGTTTGATTATTCTGTAAATGTTCAAGCTTTAATGTTTCAAATTAATCGGAGCCTGCATACAGTACCAGAGAGTGCCATTTGTTGCCAAAATCTTTCTTGCCTAGCATGGAATTAACTCAATTCTCAGTAGTCTGCCAGAATACTATTTCACTAAAAGTGACAAGCCTTCCTCCAAAGCATGGTAATTAGTGTCAGTTTTAAGAAGCCTTTGATGTGTTATCTTTTCATCCATAACATCAAAGATAGACAGCATAACGTATTCGGTTAAACTGAAAGAAACTGTGATAACAAATACATTGGCATGTGTCTTAACAGATGAGAAGATGTTAAGTGTTACTAGGCTAGGTTCATGCTTGGACTCCTAAGTACTTTATTTTTCACTGTAGGACTTACTTTGGAATACTGTACCTACAAAATTATTTTAAATGTAGAATAAGAAACTCATTACAGGTTAATTAAATTCCAGAAATAAATGGACCGTCTGAACCAGAGTCACTTGATTTTCCTTATCAAAAGTCCATATGGTTTCTTCAGAAAGACGTTTCTTTACACCCTCTTAAATTCCGTATGCATTCCTTTGATTTCCTTAATCCGAAAGAACTTCATCTACTCTGAAATCAGAACATATTCCGATTCCTGAGTTGAAAAACCCTGGCTCCTGTGTACCTTCACGGAGCTACTATCCTCACAAATCCTGGTACACTGATTTTTCCTGCTTGTTCTAGCTCCAAGGACTTCATCATACATTAGGGTGTACACGTATATTGAAAAACCTGAAATATCTGCTGCTTTTCTGAGGCAACCTCCCTGTCTGGAACACTCATCCTGCCCTTGTTAAAAACTATCGTTTTTGTGATGATTGTTGATATTGTTATAAGACCCTCTGCTGACGTTTTTAAATCGCTCCTCAGAATGTACTTGTTTTCACTGGCCTTCAATTCTAGACCTAATTCTTTAGTTTAATTTCATATTTTCTTGTTTCATTTTTCCGCTTCTTGTACATTTTTCTCCTGTATATTTTATGTAAAGTGTCTCAAGAATGCTCTAGATTGAAAGGTGCTGTTGTTTATAAGAATAAAATTGATTGATTGATTACAAGCACTGGACAGTGCCAGCAGTGTGAGTATTCACAGATTCATCATACAGTACATGCTACATCACGTGCAGCACGGAGACAGTGGTAACCATATAAATGGGCTCCAGCTTGTGTGGTACAGTTCACACGTGGAGCTTATTTCTCTCGGAATGCCGTTTCACTCAAAACAATTAAAATAGAAAAGCTGAATTGCTTTGCTGTTTATTTTCAGCACTAATGCATAATGTAAGATAATGCTAATGCTGTACTGTATCTGAGAAGGTATTGTTGAAGATTCATTAGGTCAGACCACCAGGCTGTATCAGTGACCTGGTCTGTGGGAGTCTGGTTGTCTGTACCACCATGATCAAGTGGAAAAAACACAGTAGTTCCGTGTGCGTTGATTACTGTCAGGCAACTGCACCAAGTAATTAGGGCACGAAGAAACACCTCTACCACAAATCTATACAGTACCTTGCGCTCTTCTTAATCTAATCCAATGTACATCCATCTTATTCTATGCAAACATTAACACACATTCAGAAGATTCAGACAGCACCCTAACAATGCTTTTGATTGGTTAAGTGAGGGGTTATTCTTTGGCTTCTTTGAGGGAGGATAGCCTAGTCACAGGCGTGAGGCAGTCAGAACCCCAAGGTGGAGTGAGATAGTTTCCTGCCAGGGCCTTGATGGAAGTGGAGGAAGGGTGCAAAGTCCAGCATGTGGGAAGGAAGGACTAATAAACCTCATAAATAAATAATTAGTTTTTTTCTGGACACTCCACTCAGGTGCTTTACAGATAATGGGGACTCCCTGGCACCAGTGTGTAGCCCCCACCTGGATGATGTGACGGCAGCCATAGTGAGCCAGTACGCTCCCCACACATCAGCTATGAGTGTGGAGGAGAACAGAGTGATGAAGCCAGTTCATAGGAGTAATAGGAGGCCATGATTGGCAAGGGCCAATGGGAAATTTGGCCAGGACACCAGGGAAACACCCCTACTCTTTTCGAGAGACGCCCTGAGATTTTTAATGACTACAGAGAGTCAGGACCTTGGTTTTTACGTCTCATCTAAGGACAGCGCTTTTTTGCAGTATAGTGTCCCCCGTTGCAGGGTGATTGATATACTGTAACTGCTGACCTTTATTTACACACATTGTGATATTATGAGTTTGGGATGGTGTTCTTTCCTGAGCTTTATTTTCTAAACTCCATAAAAAATGTGAGTATGGTAACTATTAAGTCTTTAACTAGGCATTAATTGTAAAGTAAAAACTTAAACTTATTGTTTATTCATAAATCCCAGTAGATTTTCACCCCACTTATAATAATGTCTCACTCAGTGCAGGCTAATGTATTGCAACTGTGTGTCTTAGAAATTATAAGATTTTTTATGCTTAAAAAAGTAAATCTGCATAGAAACACAAGAGCTACTCATTTTGTCTCAAAGCAGTGTTGACAAAGCCAAGATTCATAAGAAGATTCAGTCTTTTTTCAGAAGCTGGAGGTGGCTGTAAAGATTTGCACAGAGACCAACACAGTCCACTGCCAATTCCATTCAAGAGGTGTCATATGCCAGCTTTTGAATTCCCATCTGTCTCTCTTCCTTATGTACTCTGCTTGCTAATCAAGCCCTCTTGTCCCAATCTGGGCTTTCTGTCTGCACAAAGCTCCCACTTCAAACCAACAACCCTGAGCTCTGATTACCATTTCTGTTGTTTCTTTTTTGCATCATTGAAGGTATGAAGTTGGCTCCAACGTTAATGCTTTTACACTTTAATGCATTTTTTAATTTAGTTTGGAACCACTAAATACCTGCCTCCATGAAGTGATGCATTCGCTATGCTTTAAACAGAGCACAATGCATGTGTAATTGCCCACGTCTCAAAACACAGCCCTATTACTTTGTGGTTATTGTTATAAGATCTGGCAGTCGATTTATCATTACAGCTCATGGCCCTAGATTAACAATCCCAACAGTTTCCAATTCCTCTTCTGGGTATGAAGGTAATTGCTTCGACAACATGCCTTGTATCATGACATGAATAAGCTTCCCTCCCTCATTTTTTGAGACAGTCACTCTTCAGTGAAACAAATGCAGCCGGTTAACCAACGTCCATTTTATTTCCAGGGATAATGAAGCTTCTTTTTCCCCCCCAGCAAACCAGTTATCCTTAGAATTTTAATTGCCAAGCGCTCAGGGATGTCATATTGCAGACCTGAAGACAGGTTTTAGTGATGGTTCCTTGGGGATAGCTTTGAAAGCTTGTGTGTCTCTGCAGCCTTGCCCTTATTACCTGAAGCATGAGCAGGCATAATCATTGTGGAGCTGTCTGGGCCACAGTTGCCAACGTCATCTCGCAGCTTAGCCAGGGTGGACAGTGAATGGACAAACTGTACGTGCCACTCATTTCAATTGCCTAATGGGGCGTATGCTTTGGTGGCATTTTATTAGGGCCGTGCATTTGTCTCATACACTGAAAATAAAGAATAATTTCCACATGATGGGGAAACTGGATATTTGTTTCAGATTTCCAAATCTACTGCGCATTACACCTTTTCTGAGGCTCAGGGATAGGGATTTTTGTCCAGTGTCGTAGGGGAAATGTTTCCTTTTAGTTTTATCTGACAAATTATTAGACGTCTTATATTCTCTAAAGTAATCTGTAGAAGGAGAACTGGTTTTCTCCTTTACATTACACACTCACAGGTGGTATAAGAATACAGAAATTGCATGGCATATACGTAAAGGTAAAAGCATTTTTGTATTAATACAACTTTTACCAGTACATCATTTAAAACGGATCTTCTGCAATGTTTTGGATTGAATGGAGATATTAATATGGGTAACCAGGTGTCTTACAGTCTACAATAGTTCCTTAATGACAGAATTTAGTGTACTATTAATGTTTACTGTTTATTTCAATTTCTTGTATAGACCCATATGCTTCATTCAGATTTATTTCTGTCAACTTGTAAGATCTAATCATTAGATGATTCATTTTATTGCAGAGGAAGAAAAATCTTCATCTTAATTATGTTGTATTGACATGTATGGTGATATCAAGTATAAGATTTATTAGGCACAGATATGTTGAGTTGTCATTCAATAGCCTTTAAACAATATACCAGCTGTTAAAAGAGTGCACTTTTGCAGTAACTGTGTTGTGCTGTCACTCTGGATCAACAGAAAAAAGGAAACACTTGACAGGAATATAAAATAGATTACCTAATAGTTAGAGGACATAAAAAACTGCTTGTAACAGGTTAGGGATTCAGAAGTATAATTAGAACTAACGAGACATGTGAGCAGAATTAACAGATGGTAGAGGGAGTAAGACGCAATTGAAATATTAGTTTGAACACACAAACTTCAAATTTAACGTTGCTGTGCCTAAAGATGTTTCTTACTGAAACTTTACATACTCTCCTTAGACTTTAGGCGCTATTACACAATCAGTTCATTTCTCTAGATTTAGGAAATAGATACCCAGATCCCACTTTGACCAAAAGTTTATAGTCTTTTTAAACCACCTGCATTGATCCCCTCAAATGTGTAGAAGGAAATAAACACGAGGAAGGAAATGAAAGTTTGCAACTTCAATAAACTGAAGAATATCCAAGTAAAAATGGTAGAACTGTTACTGAAACTATCGTAAAAAAAAAAGGAAAGACACAGGTTTAGTAAATCTCTCCAGTAACACCAATGAGGTGAAAACTATGAAGATGTCTAGTCCTTGCATTGCTAGCTAAAATCAGAGCACTTTAAACTAAAGATGTATGATGTACTGTAGGCAACAACCAGCACATGAGGAAGTGCTGGGTGCAGATGAGTAGAGTACCTTTTGATGTGTGCGGGAAGATTGATCAACAGTATCCTTGGTGTGGTGAAGAGTTTCTTTTTTCCCATATATTATTATTACATATGCTTACCCTGCTCTACCTGTGCCTTCTTTATCATTTTAAAGTGTGGGGGGGAAGCACTTCAACAACCAAAAATATGAATTGTTATAGGGAAAAATCAGGCTATTAAAAGCTTTAATTAAAACAGATCAGCATAAAGACACAGTTGCAACTTATGACACTGTTGGAGAACCTTAACAAATACTGTACATGGGGCTACTGAATATTCAGCTGTAGTCCCAGAGTGGGTAGATTTCTGGGAAACTGTCAGGACAAAGCTCATCAGACTAGAGGCCCTTATTGCAGCATAGTGCACATTTGCATGCAGTTGTAGTAGTAGTACTACTAGTAGTACTATGAAAAGTAGTAGTGTATTTCTTATATTTTTATTTATATTTACTATTTATCATTAACCTACACTGTTCTTTCCTTAGATCTACTGTAACAAATTTGACATGAATGGTATATAACATCAAGTAATTTCCCAAACTAAAGAAATGGTTTCATGCTTTTTGGCTGGTTGTGGATGAACAATACATTTATAAAGTTACTACTGGTTAAATTGTGATCCAGACCTCAGCTCTAAAGTTCTGCTGTTTCAGGCACAGTGTCAGGAGTATTCTGTAGCAGCTGGACACTTCAGCTGTTTATGAAAGATCAGAAATGAACTGGTTACCTTTGTCGGTCCTGGTGATTAAAAGATCCTGAGCTTCAAGGACGTGCATTTGCTTCACAAGCATTGTCTTGTCAAAGACCTGAACGGGTGAAGGTTGTGAATCTAGGAAAGAAAATAATTATATATGCATGTATGCATATAAAAAGATTTATTTCAGGAATGCTGTTTTTGAATACTTCTTGCATTGCTGCATTCATAATAAAGAAAAAGCTTTAAAGATTGCCTTATTCAAACTTGTATCTCGGATTTAGCAGGACCTAAAGCTTTTGTCAGAGTCGGGTATACAAAATGTTCACCACTAAAAACAAGAAGATTAGCTCTCTGGTTCATCTCATCAAACTTCAGACTTGTTTTCCAGTACAGCGTTTTTTCCACTGCATAGTTGTCACTGATTCAAACAGCATATCAATGCTGACAGATTTTTTTATTAGCATTTTAAACTCCATTTAGACAGTTGAAGAATAAATTGAAGAATATCCAGATAGAAAGCAGCAGTAATGTAACGTCTAAATGTTTGTTTTATGTAAACATTTGATATGGTGTGGAATAAAAACAAATTTTCAATTTGTCTTTATGGAGATAAACACATTTTTAATTTCAACCTTCATCAAGTGGTAGGAGTATAAGTATATTAGAACTGACATTCTGTGATCTTCGGCCTTAAATTGGACTCTAAAATTGAAAGGAATTGAGGCAGGGATTTGTTTCACCACTTGGGCAAAAACAGACAAGTCACAGATGCATAAAGGTACTGAATAATGATTTAAATATTGACAATTGAAATAACATACTGTACAGAAAGCAGAACAACAACTAAGGGCTGCTGGTAATCAATAGCTTTGAAAAATCCCCAAGGGTCTTGTTTACAATGTACTGGCAGTCTTCTCTAAATACATTACTGCCTCCTCATGTCTGCTGTGCTGATCTACAGTATATACATGATTATATACATATATGATCAAATACAAAGATGCAATGTGTTATAAGGGCACTGTAGTCAATGCCTGTTTTGCCTATTGTCCATTATCAATAGATCTGCTCTGTTTTGCAATCGTACAACTGGTCAGCATTACAAAAGGCAGTATACCTCCGAAAAAGGGTAAAGCTAAAAGGGATGTAGAAAGCAGATGCTTCATTTATTAAAATTTTGATTTACTACAAAGAGTTAAGTTACATATCTTCCAGAAACGGTGCAGCTTTATGGATGTAGTAATAGGTTTATTCCATGCTGAAAAAAAGAAGAAAGAAAACACAACGTTTTGGCCGTGGAGCCTTCTTCAGGTGTCCCAACCTGAAGAAGGCTCCACGGCCAAAACGTTGTGTTTTCTTTCGTCTTTTTTTCAGCATGGAATAAACCTATTACTTGTTCCTTTGCAGCCTACGCATGCTGATGTAGCTACCCTCCTGAACTACTACAGCTTTATGGATGTGTTTATTCTAGGAAAAGGGTAACGATGATCTGCTTTCAATTGCACTTGTTAGTTCAAAATTTATTTTAAGACCGTTCAAAATAGGGTAGGTGTACCTGTAGTCTTAGACATACAGTATTATATCATTTTACAATCAGCCCTGTAAAAAGTCAATTCCTGATCCCTTGATGCTGCCTTTGGTATGCGGAAGCTGTGATGTCAGGATATGGACTCTCCTACATACTAAACAAGATTAATGGAATTGTAAGTGTGTCCTCCCATGCATTTGCTTCACTTGTCTGGTAATCTAGTACATTATCATTCAGCTTGTCCATGTTATTGAACTTTGCTTTCAAAACCATTGATCTTCTGCATCTAACTCTCATTCAATCTGCGAATAACGTGTCAATTTCCTCACTGAAGATGGTCATGCTTTAAATTATTACGACTATGAATATTTCCTCTGCTGTTAGTTTAGAATGGAAGATTGAGGCTGAGACTTCCTTTTGTATTAAGATTCTAGCAATTATCACAAAAAAGGATCAGAAAAAAAAATTATATATATATATACTGTACCGGTTACGAAAAAAAAAAAGAAAGTGCTTACCCATGCTTAAATTACAGGGATCTGGAGCTAGAGTGGAAAAAACAAGGAGTTAATTTTAAATAATTCCTAATCATTTAATAAATTATTGTTAGTATGCTTTCTCACAAAATATTTGTATCTGATTTGTTAATTATGTGTACGTTTATTAACCCTTTTCCAAAAAGCTACTGCTAGTTTATTATACGGAACAATTTCACAAAGTTTTTGCTTCCTTTAGTTTCTTTTTCCCCATTGTAGAGTATTTCCTTTTCTAGTATCCTTCTTCAAGAGCTAAAAAACCCAAAATGGCTGCAGTTGTGTTCTAGTATTTATTAAAGTAAAGATAAATGTATAGTACTGTAAGGCCTGGCCTCCTGCATTCAAGTTCAGACTACTCTAGTACAGACTCAATACAATCAATACAATACATGTTTTCAAAATATTTAGGAACACAAGCAGTGCTGCCTGCAGGAATGATGTTATATTAGAACATTTGTCAAAAGTCTACAGATTAGGGCAGAGTTTAATTTCGGTCAATTGTCTATAAATGAACTTCGAATTAATCAAAGGAATGGACAGGTACAACAAATGCATTTATTGAATTACAATCAACTATTAAGATGAACCCAGTTTAGTCATGGATTATTTTCCCCTAGGTGGTTTAGGTACTGTTAGCCATTACAAATCCACACATCCACAATAGAGCCCTTAAGAAGTTTGATGCAATCAATAAGACAACCATGGCAAAAGCACTTACCATCTAGTAGTACTACTCCAGCATCTGTAGCGATTAGTAAGGACTGACCCCAGGAGTCACTGCAGACTATTTCATAGGAAAAGTTACTGCAGAATGACTGGGATTCCCAAGGCTAAGGATACGCAAAACACAAAGAATTAGTATGCAAGGAAAAAAATGGGTAGTTCTATTGCATTAATATGGAAATATTTTCAAAACACTCCTCCATGAGGTAGGGTACAGTATTATAGCATCTAAACAGTGTTTTTTTTAAAGACTTTGACCTAGTTCATGCCGTGAAACAACTGTTTTCCTTTGCCAGCATATAATAAATCCAAAGTTTCAAAAACAAAATGTGTGGCCAGCTTCTCTCTGCACAGCTCAAACGTTTTCGTGTTTCTCGCATGCTGTAGCGACTCTCTGCTCCGTCCGAGAGAAAGGGGGAGTCAAGGACTATATTACATTTATGTGACTTGCATGCGCTTATCAGTTTTTATTTGTTGTTTATCATATTACTTCTTTATGGTTTGTAATAAAATATGTTTTATTTTATAATGTATATAAAAATATATTTTAGAGGGTCGTTATCAATTAGGTATCCAGGAAAAACCCAATACCTTTTGTATAGTACATGCCTCATAACGAACAAAATAACATAATGAAACAGATGCTGTAACAACATTGAAAGTGTTGAAAAAAAGCTTTTGCACCAGTATTATGAGGCATAGAGGTCACCACAAAGGCATTTTATTTGCACTTTGAATACCAGAGAATATATGTGTTTAAGAGCATGTAACAGGTGCACCTTTAATTTATTCAGGAAGATGCCAATAAAAGCCCCTTATGTTCAGAGTGTGTTGCAAATCCTTTAGTACTGTATATGCTCTGCTCACGACACATGAATGCAAAACTGTTGACGGTGCTGCATTACTTACAATCTGTACTCAACCATTGTTGTACATTCCAGCAAGCTCCATAAGAGTTTAATTTGCACTACAGCAACAGACATTTGTTTTCTGTGTTGCAAATACTTGCCTGGAAGACATTTTTCTAATGTAATAATGTCAACATTTTGATCTGGCATGTTGTGGTTTCTGTGTCTGTAATGCAACACCCACAGTAGTGTAAAGACACGTCACCTGGTGGAGAGTTCAAGGCAGAATGAGTCACTAATTACATTTATATGGTTTGAACCGAACCTAGTGCACATGGACAAGCCACTGTGTCTTGCAACAAACATTTATACAGTTACTATTGAAAAAAGGATGCTGTCATTTTGACACACTTTAATTAGGTTAATATGTCTCTAACTTCTTTACTTCTTCCTTATATAACAAAATTTAAAGAGAACACCAATTCAATACCTAACAAAATCTTTTCTCATAAAACGAAGTGTATCTTTTGCATAGTTTAATGAGTTTTAATGACCGGGGAAAGACAACACACCACATCTTGGCGCTGATGGCGATGTATTATGCACACCGAAGCAGTAATACTGCAGTTAGCGTATGTATACACATTGTTACCTTATCGGACTTTATTCAGCATCCTAGAATTCTATGGTTTGGGATTCCCAAGCTGTAATTTTGGAAGGCTGAACACATGTTTGAAATCTGCACTGACAGCCAAGATAAACTATATGTGGTGAATGTGCTCATTTTTTTATGCATGTATAACAAAAAACCTCATGTTAAATAAGACTAAATCCAAATCCATCTTCAGAACAAAAAATATTCACTTGTTATGTCAAAGAAAGCACAGTGCACTATCACTGACAGTGTGAGCTGCAAAGCCCTTAGAACTTCAAAACTCTTCTTGAGGCCTTAAGAAATAGTAGTACTTTTTACTCACTTCTTTCCTACATAACCCTGTAGTAACCAAGCTGGTGGGAGCATCACCTCTCACTATTGTCTTCAGCTTCAGTGCCTTTAAAAGAAGAGATTATTGTGAACCTGTTTTGGAACACAGTTTATACCGCGCTTTTTACAAAAGCTTTCTGGTCATTGTTTAATATTATGATATTAATTCTTCAAATATCTCAAGTTGATGATTCGAAGAAATTTGTAGAATGTGACCACTGATGAAGATCAGAGACAACAGGTAGATCAGCATCCTCAGAAATATCTTATAAGATATTTTCTCAACGTAGTGCAGGATAAACTAATTTGTCATTACTGCACTGCAAATAAAAGCTCTTCCATTAACTGTTAAAATATTTCATTATGGTCATTTATGTACAGCAAATTAAACAAACTGAGAGTTTATAAGCTCTGTTTTTTCATTAAGCCTACGTCCTTAATTAGACAGCAAGCATTCCAAACCAAATTAACATTATAGCGTCCTTAATAAGATTTACTTGGATGTCAAATTTAGAGCTTTATTTTGTACACTTTTCTTCTGCAAAAGAGTTGCATTGGAATTGTGGTAATAAAAAGTGGATCCCTGACCTAACATTACTAGCAAACTGCTCAGCTTTGCAACATTTTCATTATACATCGTCAATCAATTTATCACCTGATTCAAAAAGGTCAGACCTAGTAGTGTTGAATCCTCGATCAAAATATATAAGACACAAGCAATTCAATTTGAAGTACTTTGCATCAGCAACATTTACTGTAACTGTCATTACGAGGCCAAACCTTGTTCTTGGTGAAAAGCTTAGGAGTCTGGCTAGATGCTATTCTGAAATAATTTTTCAATTCACTTGTCTCACCTGACCTATCCTGACAAACTCTGCTTGTCGCGCCTCCTCTTTTTTCCTGGCAGATTTGGGAGATTCTGGCAGAACATCACTGAACGATCTTCTATTCAGCATGTTCTGAGGGGGAGAAGATAAACATTACCCAGGAATAGCAGACAGTATACAACCTCTTCATTTTCTTGCTCATACAGACTCTTAAGCAGGGCATTGTTTGAAGTGTGGATATGTTTTATACCATTTTAGGAGTAACTTAAGATGATACACAAGAAAGCTGGGCTATGACAATTTCAGTTCAGGTGGGTAGCTGCGTCAGGATGCGTAGGCTGCAAAGGAACAAGTAATAGGTTTATTCCATGCTGAAAAGAGAAGAAAGGAAACGCCCGAAGAAGAAGAAAGAGACAGAGAAGAAACCTCACACCCGCAGAAGGCTCCACAGCCAAAACGTTGTGTTTTCTTTCTTCTCTTTTCAGCTTGGAATAAACCTATTACCTACTTCTGCAGCGACCCGCTATGCCTTCCTCTAAATCTTTTTCTTGATCTCTTCGTTGTTCCTTCTCTTCCTCCCTGGGCTACATGCCCCCCTCTCTTACTAAACCAGCATTCTGTCTCTTCACAGCGATCTGTTCCAAGACCAGGCTTTCTAACCACCTCCTATTCCTTTACAGATGTCGTCGTTATAATATAATTCCTAAAGGATTTTGCCTGAAGTTTAACACTTTTTCCTTTGACTCTGACACCACCCAGAGTAACACTCAGAGACTTCTACAAGAATTTTTGAGGAAACTAATGCTTTCTACCATTTTCTCCCTCAAACGACCCTTTCGGACTGCAACATCAAAGACGCTAAGGAATTTTTACGGCTTACACCTCAACAGCATCTTCTCTTTATCACAAACCTCATCAGATCTCTCAAAATCGAACTCTACCAGTTCCTCACTTCAGAGAAGGACAAAAAAACATCGTCTTCTACAGAAAAAAAACATTAACACCCCTACTACCTTCACCAACCCTAACCTTGTTGTTACTCTACCTTCTGACTTGTCCCTTTCACGATCCATGCGAGCTCACACCCGGAAAAGGCTCCACAGCCGAAATGTTGTGTTTCTTCTATTTTCAGCATGGAATAAACCTATTACTTGTTCCTATAACAATTTTATTGCATCTCACTAAATGCAACAGCCCCATAGTGAGAAGATGCATCGTGGACAATGAAGACTTGTTGAATCGATCAAATTTGTAGCATCACTATTTTTTGCCTGAGATGTGAAAGAAATCCCATAGCTGTTCTATGGACTTAATGAAATGCAGTCCAGTGATTACCTTATGTAAGTCAGGAATGAGATCCTGATAGAGAGATCGGATAAGCATGTCCAAGGTCCGCTGACGTTTCTGAGCAAATGTTGGGGTCTCCAGGGTAGCTTTCTCACCGTTAATTACTGCAAAACAATAGGATCAAGTCTGTCTGAAATCAGCAGCCCCAAGTAAAATTCACAATCCAATTGCTTAAAGAACAGGTTTATTATCCTCAGTGGTCAGATGTATGAGCAACATTTCTACCTAATAAGACTGGATTAACAGCTGCAGTTAACAGTTCTGAAAAAATATCAATCACAATAACCGAAAACAAAATGTTTTCATTTCTGCCTTCTATAGAGAAAGAAAATGCATGTGTTGTATTAAATAAGGTAGACATCAATCAATTGACAAACAATTTGTTTTATTTTGCATTTGACTAGATGTGGGCTAAGTGACTTTCTGGAACATGGAAAGCCAAGAAATGCAACAGTCTACCATGTATTTCATATTAATTGACCACATTCCATTAGGAATTATTACCTCCCTTCCATTAGCTTAGCTTGATCTTGTGTTGCTATAAAACTGCAACGAAAAAAATAACCATAAATCAGCATGGCTACTAGAAAGTAAAAGCCCTTACATTTCACTAACAAAAAGTCCCTGAATTCCTGATGATCTGTAAACACTGGCGGAGAAGGAAGAGGAGGACCAAACAGTGGAACACTTTCCTCTGAAAATATCTTCAACCTGGACACAGTCAAAAACACGAAATTAGCTGGGAGAGACACACCAACAATTATACTGAGCAGCAATGTCTCTGCACTATGAAAATGAACACATGCTGTATGAAACAGAATTACCTATAGCTGTCATTCTGGCTGTTGTATCTAACTAAGGCAAAAATATCTATTGTTTCTGTTAAGGAACTTGAACTGATTATGTAACCAAAATTAGTACTTGACAACCAGGATATGAATTTGTCACATCAATTTTATATTTCATACGAATGTACTCTGAATCTTAATAATTCATTTTGAAAAAATGTCAACTCTATACGTTCGGTAATAAACTTGCTGTATTGTTGTGATATGCAGGGTTTTTTTTTCAGTGCCACACAGGTGGGAAGTCTGCAGGCAGAGCTCTTTTTCAAAAAGGATACGTGTGAAATGGGATCGGATCATAGACGGCTTAAACGATGGCGACATGTCGTCTCCTTCTTGGAACACTATCGTGACAATGTCATTTCCAATGTGTCGCTTTCTCTCAACCTGCATGTGCAGAGAAACCAGAGTGACACCCTCAAAATAAAATGACAGACACTGATGTTTTCCCTCCCACCCCTCCAGACGTGAAAAACACAAGAACCTGCTATCCCCTGGTCAGATCGTCATTCGATTATTAACATGGATAAGAAAAATACTGTATATGTGTTAGATTCTAAATGGTCTAATTTCCCTGATAGTGATGCAGAAAAATCACACAGATTTGTAATATGCTGCTTAAATGCTTAGAAAATATAAGTGGCAAAAAACCTACAAAAAAAGACAAACAGCACAAACAAAATCAGCTCAGCAATCGGTACATGTAACCATCAGCTGTCTAAATATGTCTGACAGTTGGATAACCTTGTATTTAACATTCTGTAGAGATGAATATGCCCTGAGGTACTAAAAGTGTTTACTACTGTATAGTCTATGTGTGGGAAACAATGTAGGGGAAATGGTAGTATTTTTGGAAAATTATGGCATTGGGAGTTATTAAAAGATATATTTCAGAAGGTATTTCAGAAGGTAGAAATGTACAGTATCAATGGGTGAGGACCAGACGAGCTCAACAAAGCTCTTTTTATAATACCACTGTTTGGGAATCCCATTTACTTCTTGAAAGAGACTATTTATTGACTGTACTCTTGGCTCAGGAGAATAGTCAAGGGAAATGGCTAAGAGGCTCTGATACATGGTTTTGTACTTTAGAAAATCAGTATGTGTTGGCAAGCAGTCAGAAAAGGTTTAAGGTTTTTTTTTAGCAAATAAGTGCTTAAACCATTTTAGCCATCTGAGTTGGAAAATCCTCAGATATAAATAATTTCAAACATTTATTTTTGTTTGAAATGCTGCATGAATTTACAGCCAGATTGGTGATTCTACTAGACTTTCTGACTTGACAACCCAACATAAATAATTTTTTCCTAAGGTAACATTTTATTTTTTCCTCTAAAATATCTATACGGATTTCCACAATGTACAGGACATTCAACTATACATGGTTAGTAAATGGATCAAATATTTTCCCTAAGTTATGTTAGTATTTGTGTTAGTATACTGTATGTGCCTGAGATATTACATGGAAATTTACAATCTACAAATGCGCTAACATCATTCCAAATCATATTTACTTATCAGAATAGATGGTTCCCCATTTGAATCAAATGGACAATTTTCAGCTCCATCTGAACATGAAAACAGCAAGCTCTTATTAACAAGAATGAGCAAATTTTTAGCAACCATGTAAAGAATTAACTCATGTATTTTTTCATCCTAACTCCAATAGAAGAAATAGAAATGTAGTTTATTCATGTTTAAATGTCTCACACTGTGTGGCTCTATTAAATTCTGGAGACCTTCCAGTCATTTTTCTGCACTAACAATCAGGAGTATTCAAGTGCACTTCTCTGGCTTTAGAAAGCTGACCTTAGGCACAAAGGCATTGAGAATTCTGTGAAGTGTGAAGAGAAGCATAACTACAGATCTAAATGTGGTCAAATTCCAAACCTCATCCACACTTCTATTGGAAGACTTCATGATCTAATGAAGAGCACTCAGAGAGCTATTTGTAGGGATTCTTTTAAGTACAGAAAGGATATTTACTTTCACTTATTTGCAATGACAGCTGTAGTGCAATTGTTTAGTGGGTTGAAGAACGAGTCCCAGACTTACCTGTTGCTTGTTTTCTTTAGAATATGGCAGCATTGTGGACACATGGAACATGAGCTCATGTCCTTGGTACACTGTGTATATAGAGTTAATTCCAGTAGTGTCATCTGTGGATAGATTCATTATTAAAAGACTGTTTCCCCATACTGTACATACTTGTTGTACTGTATGTCTATACATACTGTATGACATTGACATTTGTCTGCCTGCATAGGACTTTAAGTTGGTATCATATACCAGAGACAATGAAATTCAGGCTCACTTTTCGTGTCCAGCCCTCCTCTGTAGCCTGCCCAGCCTCGCAACGTGATTGTGTCCCCAAGGAGGTTTAAAAACTTCTCAAAGCTTTCACTTCCACTTTCTGGTCAGAGAATAAAAAAATACAGAGGAAATTGTCAATCTAAAAAGTTTTTGTCAACATTCACATAACAGTATGTCCGATATTCCCATTTGGATAATCGGGTTTGCTCTAGTTTTGAGGATTTGTCAAAAAATGTGTGTACAGTTGGGCATCAGCTCAACTGACATCTATGACTCTGGTACCAGCCTGGGGTAAATGAGGACAGGCTTTCCTTTGAAAGGTGCACACTAGTGTAGAAATCTGACTGTGGCCTGGGGTCATTACTCATGACCTGGCTGCAGTGCGTTTTAAACAGACACCACTTGTTGAAAGTGACATCCCAGGTACAGTATAACTGAAAGGTGGGGATAACATTATCAGGAATAGCCACCATGCCATAACTGGATGATTGGTCACTCATTAACACCCATTTGTCCATTTGTGGTAATAACATTCTGTAGGGTGACCATGGCTATACCTGGACTATAAAACTCTCTTTAACACTGCTGCAGTTCAGGGCACTGTGGGGGTAAGCACCTAGTGTGTGTCTTCTCCCAGTGTTCTCCAGAAATGGCCATTTTCGTCACAAATTAAACTAATCTCAAACCTTTTCAGGTCTGTGCGGTGGCTCCTTGCATCCCTACACAAGGCAGAGCCATCTGCAGTTTTGCACACTTCAAGAGTCACAGAGTTAACATTGACTGGAGGAGTGTTGTGACTCTTGCTTACAGCAGTTTGCAGGTGTCTGCTGTGGATCAAGCTGAAGATACACTGTAGCAAACCCCAACCCCCCCCCTGGTGGCACTCAGTTAGTTTTGTGTTTGTGCCACAGGTGATGCCATTCACAGTGAGCTAACTGTATGGCCCAGAATGGAACTGGACCATAGGAGTTAATCTACGCTCCACATACTGTACAGGGCTTGAGATTTCACTTGCTGCGCTATTATAATAAATATTCAAACAAACAAGGGCTAAGGAACTGTAGATCTGATGTCTCTGAAAACATTGTAAATCAGGCATCAGCATTTGTTCTACATACTGTATATACTGTACATCTGAATTATATTTCAAAGTCAGGTATTCTGTCCCACTGCTCATATCATCATTAAGTAGGACTAAAATGGGAGCAACACTTACCATTGCTAAACATTTCATCGTCAGTGAGCTGTCCGTCTTTGGCATACAGAACACCAAATTTAAAGTTTACCGATCCCTACAAAGACAATTTTAATTGTTTAGAGAAAACTGATGAAAGCTGCTACTAAAAAGAACCAATTGCACTATTTTGGGTATTTGGGTAATAAAGAGAAATCCAACCTTTACAATTATCTATGAATTCATGGGTACTGTACCAAAAATATCCCAATGTGCTCTGGAGGTTGTTGAAAAGAATCTTTAAACAATGGTAATGATTCCAGTTTAGGGAAATTCTTTTTATTGTCGCTACATGGAATAAACATTATAGTAATGACACATTTTCCTCTTTTTTATTTAATTGTATTATGCTTGTTCTTTTTGCAAGGTGTGACAAAATATACTGACTTATAATTCACTCCCTGAAACCATTTTAATACACTTATAAAAAATATGTAAAATTACCTCTTGCTCTTCTAAAACCAGAAGGTCCTATAAAGAAAAGTGCCATCATTTATTACTTTAAATGAGAGTTATTTACATTTTCATATTCTTTACAACAAGAGTGTTTACTGCGCATGACAGAATGATACTGATATCATTCTAAATAGTGCTTAAACAGTTTACTGTATACCTTAAGAATCCACATCAAAATCCTAAAGACATTAGTTGAATAATGTTACAGGTCTATGAATTTACTTTCTAAATAAACTATGGGCTGATATTTGCACCCATACTGAAGGTAGTTAAGCACAATTTTAGATTACATTGCATTTTTTTAATTTAATATATGCTGTGATAGTTTTTCTTGACAAAAAAGCAAAAGAGATAGTTCACCTTCTGGATTTCTGGGTTGAGAATTTCTCTGGGGCCCTTTTCAAATCTGTCAAGGTTCATGGCACTGGAAAGTAAATTAAAAGTTGAAATAATGTTCAGCGCTGTTATGCAGGGCTGCAAAGGGGCTAGTAATAACAAGCTCTCTGTCTCTCTGTAGTTAAGGATACTTACTGTAGGCAACGTCTTTTTCAAGTTTACTGCCTATACACTGTCAATCCATTATTGTAGAATAATTCCAGAAATGAACCACAGTCAAGAGCACTTGACTGTCAATGTTTACAATGAACCTTTCTTACTTTGAATATTATAAATTATATAAAACCCCAAAGCATTTCCATAGTTATCAGATTATTTTCCAAGAGTGTCTTCTGGTAGTTCTTTAGAGAATTTAACTTAAGTAAAGCTATTAGTGAAATAAAAAAAATGCATATTAAACTCAACTGATGTATCTATTTATTTTTATTCGTTTGTGTAGAGATGTTTTAAGAAGATGAGATACTTAATAGATATAAGGCTTCCTCTTTAGCTCCATCAGCTAATTCCTGAAATTGATACTGCATGTTAATTGGTCAACACCCCAAAACTAAATGAGGTTAGTGGTCTATCGGCATATATGCAAAAAATATTGAAGGCAGCACTGTGGTTCAGATATGCCTGGCAGAAAAATGAACTAGTCAGCACTCAAAAATAGGTATTTTGTGTATTTATACCTAAGCAGAGAGTTCTAATTCCTTCATGAAACAACAAAATACTTGCCTTAAAATAGACTTCACCGATAGTGTTTTTGTTGGGCTGTAAGGAAGACATATCTTCAGGGTTCCCTGCAGGAGATCAAACAGAAGCATTACTGTGAAACGCTTCTTTGCAGTAAAAATAGCCCTGGTGTGAGTGTGTGCATGCTTGTATCTATATGCACTCTATATGTGATGGACTGGTCACTCATTCATGGTGTACAGTATACTGTGTAGCGACAAGGCCTATTATTTCACTTAGAATTAAGTGCTATTAAAGACTTCTTATAATCCTTCTATGCCTTGACCAAGTAGCTTGTGCCCGTCTCTAAAAGCAGAAAAATGTGGCTAAAGTGGCCCCTCTGATAAGAGATATTATAAAGCTGTATCAATGCTGTACATTTAATGATATAGAGTACAGACAAGTTCCAGCAAGTCTCCTGGCTGTTTCTTCCCAAAACCAAAGATCAAATGTTACCCAAAGGAAGATCTACCAATTGGTGATCTGTAGGGTGGGTACCAAAACTATACCTTAAAGCATCTCAGCAAATCACCAACTTGTGGATTTCATACTTCAAAAGCAAGAACCCAACACATTTTTGCCAGCTAACTCATTGACTTGAAATCTGTGCACAGACAGTTTTTAAAGACCGAAGTCAGCAAGGCACTACTTTGAGAGCTGTCTAAGCCCCAAAGCAAGGGAAAAGCTCTTTTTCTTTTCTCTGTCTGCACAGGGACCCTCCCAGCACAGAGAATGCAAGTCGGATCATGAACCAATCCAGACCAGCGCAAAGTTCAAGTCGTCAAGAATATGAGGAAACAGATTCTTTGAGTAAAACTTCATTATTCACATCAGAATTCTCGAGTTGAACTATAGGTTGCTGCTAGAAGCGGTGTTAGTGGGGTCAGCAGGGGGCACTCACCCTGCGGTCTATGTGGGTCCTAATGCCCCAGTATAGTGACGGGGACACTATACTGTAAACAGGCGCTGTCCTTCGGATGAGACATAAAACCGAGGTCCTGACTCTCTGTGGTCATTAAAAATCCCAGGGTGTTTCTCGAAAAGAGTAGGGGTGTAACCCCGGTGTCCTGGCCAAATTTCCCATTGGCCCTTACCAATCATGGCCGCCTAATAATCCCCATCTATAAATTGGCTTCATTACTCTGCTCTCCTCCTCACTAATAGCTGATGTGTGGTGAGTGTTCTGGCGCACTATGGCTGCCGTCGCATCATCCAGGTGGATGCTGCACATTGGTGGAGGTTGAGGGGAGTCCCCATTACCTGTAAAGTGCTTTGAGTGGAGTGTCCAGAAATGTGCTATATAAGTGTAAGCAATTATTATTATTATTATTATTATTATTATTATTACTCCAAACTCATGTTTGATGTTTAGTTCATGATAGTAAATGCATATTTACTTTTGTGTGAGAATATAAATGTGATTTGGTTATACGAGATTGATAAAACCTACAAGCTTGACTGTAGCACATTATAGTCGAAGCATATTTCAACTCTGAAGTTATTAACTCTGATAGTGGTTAATAAGTGAGTGAACAATCAGCTTTCATATCACAGCACATTGTTTCACAGATTCTGTATACTCTATTACATTCCTTGTTGGTTATGTGTGCTTTAGTTATATCTATAAATTGTATATTGTGTATTTTGAATCAGCGTGGGAGACTGTCAATTATTATGTTTAATTAGTAAAAGTAATCAAGTACTCTTTTTCTGATACAGAAAATTAAAACCCCCATCTCCTACAACTGACTTGCACCTGTTGCTTGCTGCGATAGGCTCCTGCTCCTCTTTTACCCTGTTCTGGGTAAAGCAGTTAGAGAATGGATAGATGTCTTCATAGAAAACAGTTGTGCAAACACGTCATCAGGTTTCACTAGATACTGCTGTAATTCTCAAATATGCCATTTTTAACAGAGGACCATGATTACAACTCTGTATGAGAACTATAACTGTGGTAAGCAGTAGCCAAATTTATGAATGACACTGAACTTGAGAGCTTGTTGGTTCCTACGTTTTACAATTGTATTGAAGAATGGGTAAACATTTTTTTGGGAATGGTTATTTTACGTCATTACACAGGATAAAGTGCTAACCGAGATTGTTCATTTGATGAAGTTCTGTTGGCAAATGTTATAAGATGTGTACAATCTAAAAAATGATCTAAATATTATCTTTAAATTTTTGCTTTGCTCCCAGTCTTTAAGTAATGTGTAAATGTGTTGCCAGTGTCATTTTAGAATCAACCAGTCTGATCACAATTCATTCTAATCACATTTTTAAAATACTTTTTACCAAAGTTTGAACAAGGTAATCAATATAGAGCGGTACAGTGATATCAGTGTTTTCTGTAGAGCAGGCCAGCGATATCAGTACTTTCTTAACAAAATAATGAAATAATAAAATAACGAATAACGAAACATCTTGCAATCCCAGGTCTCCTGTTGAGGGAACAATGCTGTTTCAAAACCCTCAAAGCACTCCAGCTGTTTTAACCTCCTGATTTGTACTAGACCAAACAGATTTTCTGTAAGTATTATCAATAAATAAATTATTCAATATAGCATGCATAAGAGAATATAACGGACTGTGACAAAAACTGATTCTTCTTATTTTATAAGTTTAATCTATCATAGAATTCTTATTGCATTCATTTCAATATAAGAAGAAAGACAAAGTGTTTGTAGGTATGTTAAAAGAAAAGTACCTTAGACATACAGTATGAAGTATTAAACACATTCCTGGTAGAAAATCATTATTTTCACCTGCAGCATAGTTGTCCAATACAGTGTAAATGATGCAAAATTAGTGTTGAAAAATGTTGTGTTATATAGTGTTGAAACAGTGTTGTGTGAAAAATTCCTAAGTGTAATTATTTAAACTTTTATTGAAGTCCTTGGTATAAACTAATTTAATTGGGTTTTTTTCTGTTGTTGTTTTATAGAGTGTTTCAACAAACTGCCTATTAATCATAATGCCCCAGTAGCACAGTGTTTTGAATCTATAGGCTGATTACCATAGTGTCTCACAGAGACTCCACATGGGGCTATTCTTAATGCTGTGGCTACGAAAATCAGTACACGTGTAGCCTTTTGATTAACACAAACAAAGCCTGCATTTCCATAATACTATAAGTAATTAGTGCAAGATTAATGCATAATTGTGAATATGGAATGCACATGAAATCAGGCCAGTCCAGTTTAAAGGACCATTCAGACATACAGATTGTTATTCTTCATTTTAATTCTCTGAAGTGTCTTGCAGGTGACCTCTCAATTAAAAGAAGCTTTACATTCAAGAGGCCCTTTTTCAAAGCCAACACATATTTTACTACTGATATAATCTTCCCGATCCCCTTCAAAAGTTGATTGACATTTGTTTTTAGCAATAATTTCCAAATTGACCTAAGTAATATACTATATAATATAGCATGTTTAGATTTTCAGAAGGTGTTTGATTAAGTTCCACATAAAAGGTTAATTCTAAAGCTGAAAGCTATAGGAACTAAAGGTAACGTACAGTGCGTACTGTAAATGGATTGGAAAATGCTAAGGAAACAGTGAAGAGTGATAAGGGGAGAAGACTCTGATTGGAGTGATATATTTAGTTGAGTCACATGAATCTATATTAGGACTGTTGCTACTATTAATTTATATTAATATTTTTGACTCTGGCATAGACCTGTGACGTTTGCAGAAGAGATGAAAAAGCAAACACTATAGAAGCAGGAAAGGAAATGCAAAAAATTAAAGACTGTGTACTGTAGCCCAATTAATATTACATTGAGAAGTGCAAGGTAAAACACTTCTTTAGGTAGTACAGATGTACAGAACTGTTTTGAAATAGGAGGCAGTAGACTACGAAAAAGCCCCAGGAGTTGATTTATCATTGTCTTCTTCCGGACAATGTAGAGAAGCAAGTACAAAGGCAACAAAAATAGGATTTCCTGAAAAGCGAAAAACGTTCAATGCAAGCAATTAATATCAAGGTTAGCAATGCAGTAAACAGACTCATTTACAATACTGTGTAAAGTTTTTGTCAGTGTTCTATAAGGACACCCCTGCTTTAGAAATTATTCAAAGAAAAAAACCCAAACTTATCCTACACGAAATGTTATACCCAGTTAGGTTTCAGCTATTCTTGACCTCAGGAGACCAAGGGCTTGATACAATTTATGAAAATCCTGAAAGGTGTGGACAATGCCAACACAACAGGTAACTTTATGCTCATTGGTGAAGCAAGAACGCAAGAGCCCAGCTGGATGTCATAAAAGAGTGTATTTAGGACTGAGAACGGGAGCACTTTTACACAAAGTGTTGGGTGTCAGCAACAAATTGAAAAACCATGAGGTTTGAAGCTGAGTCTCCAGAAACTTTGAAGTAGTGATGCATGATATCCTGGGATCAATAAACTACTAAGCAACTGAATAAATGCATTGGGTGGAACGACCCCCACTTGTTTATAACCTTTTTATGTTCGTTTCTGCATAATAGCACTCCGGTAGTCTAAAATCCAGCCATATCTCATTTAAACTGGGTCACGCAGTGGATTATTCAAAGTGAATGCTTGAATTTTTTTTAATTTCTACCTTAACAAAAGCAAAGCTAACTATGTAATTGATTAGCAGCTGATTCAAACACTCTGATTTAAAATGGATAGACTCACTTTATTTTATTTTTTTTTAGAAAATGCAAAGTGTTTTATAGGTGTGATAATATTTGGTAAGATTAAAGATTAGCCCTGGTTATGTTTCTTTACAGAAAAGGAGAAGCTAGCAATCTATACATCCTATAAAAAATGGAAATGTCCATGTACACAGCTGATGTACGACCAGTATTCAGTAGGATACAAGTTTCTGGCCCATTGTACTGGGCAATTTGTAAGTAAAGGGACAAATCTACATCATTAAAGACACTAAAACTAGATAATCACAATTGGTAGCAAGAAAAAGGAATAATGTATTCTATATCAGACATGTAAGGTAACCTGCTAGATATCAAGCTGAATAGTAGTACAGCAGATGACAACGAAATATTGCTCAACTGATATAATCTGAAAAGAGGAAATTTAATAATGGCACAAGCACAATTTGTATAATGCAGGGTTTGCTGCTAATTGAACATAAGGACCATGCAAAATCACACTTTGTCTTCACAAAGCCTATAGCTAGAGGAGGGGTAGGTTAAATCACACCTTTTTAAAACAAAAACCACAGCCTACCAATTTATCAACAGGGATCTTTTTTGTCCTGTGCTGCACCGAGCATTTTAAGCAACAGCTTCGCCTTACACTTTCATCTGAACACCAACAGCAAGCTTTGCGCTATTTATTTCCTCATCGTATTTACATTTCAGGCATCCTTCATGTTTTCACACCATTTCGGAAGCTATTAGAAGCGTTTTCACAGGGCTTCCCCCGCACACTGCCTGGGAGATGCAGTAGTGAAAATGAAAGCGGTCTCATGTAGAGATTAAATCCATTTTATTTCTTTAATGAAGGAAAACAAATATCGAAACTCCTCATTCCTTTCAAAAAACAATCCATTGGATGAAGGTGATCTTTACGGCTTTTCTTTGATTTTCTATTTCTGTTACTCCCCCTTTCGTGGGATAAAGCCATTGACACTCTGAGAGTCAGGCATCTTTAGCAAGAACTGACAGATACAAGAAACTGACTGCTGTCTCAGCTGCTCAGCAGTAGACCAGCTGCAGAGAGTGGGGTCTTATCCTTGCAAAGTAGAAGGTTGATGTACCAGCCTGATATTTAGCCACCACATTGAACAAACTGCCCCAGTTCCTTTTAAAACGCAAGCCGTCTGCTGTTGGCTGCAGCACTGATGTCAGGTGATATTTTTTTCTCCTCCACTGATAGGAAGGTATGAGCTATGAAGCTACTGACACAACGTCAGACACAAACATGCATGCCCACACCTAAGCAACTGACACATGGGATAATCTGTCTCTGACAGAATTCCTGGTCTGTAAAGCTTCTTGCATTTCTCTCAATTACACAAGGGTTATTGACAGAATCATGTAGCATAATGTAGGCTATATTTTGTTTCATTTCCCCAGGGGAAATAACCTGATACTTGGCATGTGTGAATAAAATACTCAGTGCCTTCAGTTCTGTGATGGTAGTGTTTAACTACAGCCTTTTCATCAGCTTCATTGGATTTTTACAGGGGTCCCTTAAAGACTTTTTTTTAAATAAAAAAAACGTTTTGGAGCTCACCGTGACTAATCAGATGGCTCATTAAGAATGGGGGTAAAATGTTAGTGAAACAAACAGTGCTTAAAATGATGAATAATTAAAAATCTGAGCTTAGAAAATATGAAGAAGGTGCACTTTCAAACATGACTGAGAATCAGGGAATTAAACTTTTTATTGAGATTTTTAAAAATGAAGGCAAAGCGCATAAAATCTAACCACAAGGAATATTTCCGAATGTCTTAGTCAAATTATGCAGAATCAAACTCTAACTTGTACTGTACACTATTGTAAATCCATTATTTACAGCAACTTGGTAACTGGATTGACTGAATTATTTTTGGACACGTCAGTCTCCGGCATGCTTTTTATGTCACTGAAAACAAGGAAAAAAACCAACCAACAAAACAAAGAAAATCAAAGAACACAATGTGCAATCCAGCACTCATCTGAAGTGCTTGATGCTGTGAGTCATTGTTCCTCTAAGAAAAAGTGCCCACTTATTCACTGCACACAGCTGGGGAGCCCCCAGGACACTTACCGCCTTCCTCCACAGAATGGCACGGTACTGTGGGACTCTCTGGTTGTTCTGGTCCGAGAGAACTACAGACAAGTAGAAAGGATTCTTGTCTGCATCTGTGCCAACATAGTTCTGATGCACTGCAAGGCAAAGAAAACAAAAAGCCTTAACGAATGTAATAATGTAAAGTAATGCCTGTCTTGCAAAGGTTGATGACCTGACTGTCAAAATAATTAGTTTCTTTTGACCCTCTCACTTTACCCTGTATTATGAAAAATAATGAAAGTTATAAAGAGATAACAAGATGAACAATGCTTCCACAAGACAAATTTGTCTGTGTCACGTTTACGTCATGTTTATGTGTCTATGCAGTTCAAGTTACAGTAGTGGTCATTGCTAATGACTTGTCAATGTGTTCATGCTTCATTTTGATAGTTTACTAGAACACTTAGGTGCATTTGTATCATTTTGCTTAAGCTTTGTACTAACGTCAGTACAGTATATTTTTCTTGATTTTATTTAGGTCCTAGATTGCCCAGCAAGTGAGGCTTAACTCTGCACTTCTTTCTGGTTCAATTCTGGATTAGGTCACTGGTCAGGGCATAGTGAGAACCGTCAATGAGTGACGGACACTCTCCAAAGTTGTGCGGCATAGTCGAACTGGCATAGATATCTTTTACTTGGCCACAGACCCCTGTTACACTGACATGAGGGCAGAAGTGGTGAAGTCAACTTGATTAACACATTGGGAGATTGTAATAAGACAGTTAGCAACTTGCTGTACTGTATATATATGTAATTATTGTATATACTGTACAGGTATAGAAATATTTTGTGATCAAAAATGCAACTTTGGAAAAGTGAGCTAAAAACACAAATCCAGTTTTGATATCCTGTTTCACAGACAATTTAGGTCTTTTTGAATTGATGGTAAGAATAAACTGTGCATATGGCTTATCCTTTTACTTTTTATGTGAAAAATGTATTTTTGCGATTCTAGGGTAAGTACCAGGACTGGAAAACCCATACTGTATGTATAAAGTAATTTATTTAATAGAAAAACCCTTTAAAGTGTTATTTATCCTTTAAAGGATATTTTTAGTATTCTTTCAGATACTTTTTGATCTATTGTTGCGCATTCATTTTGGAGAAGCAGTTGGCTGTTATCACAAAGAAAAGGGAAGCTCAGTGACCTTCAATGTAGTTTGAAAGACAACAGAAAGATTTCAAATTGGATTTCTACAGAAACCCAAACCAGAATCAGATTAACATTTAGGTTGAACAATTCCAGTCTGTATATTCAAAGCATTTGTCCTTATTTTTTTCAATTAGCTTAACTTAATGTCCGCCTTACCTTCCTGAGGTCTAAATGCACCACAACAGTGCCTTGTGCTGAGTTAGGGATAATGCATTTTTAACGATCTTCATCATTAGGCTTAGCACGGCCTGATTTATTACTATGTTGACATGATTATTACAAAGGCGAGCCAGCCAAATTTTAATTGTGTTAGCTCTAGGGATCTGGACTGCAAAGCTCCTAGCTATTCCACTCAAATTAGATATGAATGTCATATAACATTTAGCTCTTACCAGGATGGGGGTTCTGGAAGACAATTTGGGAAATGCTACATTACGTACAGTATGTTTCAGATATTTCACTTCCTGTTTTGACACCTAAACAGCTGGAGTTTGACCAGTGCAGGTCTGTTGTGATGTTTCAGCAAAACAGGGATTTCTTACAGATGAATATGATGGGGAGATATAAGTTATTAGAGATTTCAGTGTATAGCGTTATAGTGTTAATACCTTAGTTATTTTAAGTCATTTGCTTTAAATAGAGATTCCAGGAAACAGTGCTTCTTTGCTAAGTAAAGAGAGACTGTCATTTTACCTCTGTCTTATAGGATCAACAATTTCCGTGCCCCATGTTATGTTTATTGTCCATAACAGTATTTAAAAATGTATGTTCAGGAGGGTAGCTCCGTCAGCACAATTCCTTCAGCTACGACAACTCTGCAGTGATGACATGGATTTCCAGAACAAAGCACTCGAAATGCACTCCTTTTTCATCAACAGAAGATACCCGACCCATGTTATTGACAGGGCCCTCATCAAAGCCAAAAACAGCCCCCGGACCATCAACCGTCGACAGTCAATCAGGAACACCTGGCCTAACAACTGCATTCCTTTGGTGCTTCCCTTCCACCCTGACACACTTTCTACCCCCAGGACCATTCAAGGACAACTTTTCCATCCTACAGGCTGAGCCCTCTTTTCTGACCACCTCATCATGTCATATCGCCAACCACCTAATCTGCATAACCTTCTTGTTCACAGCTCCCTTGACCGCCCTCAGCAACCATCCACACCAGGCACTTGCCCTTGCAACAGAGCTCGCTGCGTCACCTGCAAGTACATATC